TAAGAATGTTAGTTGGCTACTTGTAGGGCATTCTCCTTAACGGTTGACACGTTTATCTTGTGTACTGTCTCATTCACAAGCAAAGTCTATGCAACAATCTAAGCCAGTGCACTCATACACGTTGTCGTATCGCATTCGCAAGTGAATCGTAATACTGCGCAGGACTGGAGGAAAATACCGTAGTCGTTTATTGCCATTTCGAGATTTCTTACAATACGCCATGACGGGCGACGTCTTTTTTTATGTGACGGTAAGCAATCGGCGTCACCCATGGACACCTGAAACACCAGAGGCGTTACAAGTGCGTTACCAGCTTTTAGGGAATTGGTAACTTGACGATTGTGGGGAATTCGGGGATTGGGGAGACTGGGGACCCGGGGTTATTGGGCCTCCGGTAACCTCAACACACGACGAAACACAATGTCTTGTGTGAAATAGCTTATAAATAAAACAAAACTATTTTTTGTGTGACTCGCAATATTGTAAGATATACTAAATTAAATGAATTTATTAAGCATGTTAAAAATTGTTTTCGGTTTACGCATATAACTAGTTTCAATGCTCATATTTATGAGCATTAGTGTGGCGCAATGCCACAATCAATATGAGCTTTATGCATGACTTGTAACTAGTTGATTTCCTTGTCAAACAGTTACTTGAGTAAACCGAAAATATGTCTCGTAAAAGTTATATATAGATATAATATATACGATATATTTTTATAAGACTGCCTCGTTGGTCAAGTATTCACAAGTGCGACTACCGGGCCGGATTTCGATTCCTGAGGCGGGCAAGTATTACTCGGTTTTAAAAAAATCGCAGTAGTAGCACGGAGTCTGGAATTGTGCCCGGTTTATGGGTAGTGGGTGTTAAATTGTACAGTGGCATTTAAATGCCGTAATGTGCATCTCTACCTACCACTTCGAGGATATAAGGCGTGATGTTATTTATGTTGTTGTTATTTTTATGCAAAATTCGAGTGAGTGAATGATCAGTATTGAACAATTGACTTATCAAATAGATTCTTTCCTACTGTTGTATATATACTATAGAATTGATAATATAACTGACCAAAATTGCGTAAAATGTTTTGTTTCTTTTCTTTATCTTTTTCCTGTTAGCTATACTGATAAAATTATCTCCTTCTAAATACTAATATTTTTCTAAATAATTACTTTAATTAAATTAAAGTATTACATTATTTAAATGTTTTGACATCACTAGTGACCCTAGAAGAGCACGACTGTGTTTACATATCGAAGTTATAAGTAATACATAACAAATCTTTTTATGTAAACGGTTTTATGAGCTCTAGTCCACCGATAAAGTCCCTTCATTTGATATACATAATCGAGATATTTGGGAAAAAAATTGATTAAAATAGTGACTAAGATTAAAAGTGTACCAAATATCAGATCGATCTGTAGTAAGAAAGGGATTAAGAAACCATTAAGTTTTGACTCAAAAAAACAATGGGTGCAAGCTATATAAAACCGTTTAATACGTAAATTTTTTAAATAAAATTTTATATGAGGGGCTTTTGTTTTAGTTTGTCAGAAGTTAAATTTATCATATATATTATCTTATTACTATTATATAAAGCGGAAGAGTTTGTTTTTTTGTTTGTTTGAACGCGCTAATCTCCGTAACTACAAGTCTGATTCGAATAATTCTTTTTGTGTTGGATAGAGTATTTATCGAGGATGACTATAGGCTATAATATAAAACATCACGCTACGACCAATAGGAGCTGCGCAGAACGTGTGAGACCGCGCGGAAGTAGCTAGTCTATTATAAAAATAAAAATTAATCTGGTCAAAACGCGAAGGAGAGAAATCAAAGAAGATTCGATTTGTGATAACTCAAAATACGCATTAGATTGAGTTTGTAATGGGAAGATTATATGTGAATACAAATAAGTAAATGTATTAGGTACGCTTCATAAACTACTAAATAAGAATACATACTCGTAAAAACAAACAAACAAACAAACAAACTGCACAGTTGGCGCGGTGGCTAGGCAACTGGGTGCCGTGAGACGTGTTGCAGGTTCGATTCGATTTGATCCACAAATTATTGTTTCACGCCTGAGTATCATTACACGTGTTAATGAAATTGTATGTTTTTAAACGCACCCATGGCATATACGAATTTTAAGTAATTCGATTTTGCAACACATAATACCGAAGCTTATTTTTTTATATTATTATTATTTCACACAATATTTTTGACAAAACTAGTACAAAGGCTAGAAATTTTAATAAGAACCACAGCCTAAAGAACTTTTAACCGGTAGAATCCGGCGCATGAAAGTCCCATAAGAAGATTTCCATCGCATTAGAAATATCGTTGTATATTGAACCATTTTGGAACAAGAGAGATCGTTCATAATCAGAGCAATTTGCTACTGTATATCACAACTTGGTTAATCAACATTTTTAGGCGCTCGGTCAAAGCTCGTTCCAACCCTTCATAACATTAACATAACATCACGCCTTTTATTCCCGAAGGAGGTACAGAGGTGCACATTATGCCACTGTACAATGTAACACCCACTTTACACTATTTATGTTATAAGTCCCATGTATTAGCGTGAGCCTATTGCCATATACCGGACACAATTCCAGCCTCCATGCTACTACTGAGAATTTATAAAAACCCAGTAATACTTTGCCCGACCCGGGAATCGAATCGTTCCAACTCTTCATGAATGTTAATTCGCTAATTGTTCATAAGCGATATCACATCATGTCACATCACATAAGCAGCCTATAAGTAGCCACTGCTGACCAAACGCCTCATCTCACAACAAATAAGTCTTATACAGTGAAACCTGGTTAAGTGAGACATCAAGGGACCTGCTATGTCGTTTCACTTATAGAAGTATTCCACTTACCCAGTGTCTCAGATATACAGGTATAAATAAATATCTGTCTCATTTACAGAAGGTTCCATTAATAGAGGTGCACTTGGAATTACGTGTGGAATTTGTAGGTAGAATAAGAATGAGTAAACAAACAATGTTATCTCAGTTACAGAGGTTTATGCATATAAAATTTACTCGCTATCTCAGTTAACTATGATGATAAATCGAAAGAACAAATCCCAGATATAGATTATCTCGTCCCACTCACAGAGGTAATTCAGTGCCAAAGTGTTGGGACCTCAGCATGAGTGCCAGTTATGGAGGTTTCTCACTTATCCAGGTCCCACTTAACCAAGTTTCACTGTAATACCGTCCAAGAACACTCAATATACATTTGGTGTTTCGGAAAGTAGGTATAAAGACGAAACCGGCGCAAACTCATGATATCGGACGAAAAATGCATCAGTCAGCATTCATTTTGCATATGCGGATACACGGTAGTTTAGACTACTGTGCAGCGTAACATGATACATGCCGTCATATCATGTGCTGTGCCCCGCGACTTCATCCGCATAGAATTATGAATTTTGCCCGAAATTGAATTTTCTAAGAACAGCATAAACAATTTTTCTTGTATATCTTAGACAGAATCTTTCTGGTAGATTTTTCACATGTCGTGTTACATTATAGAGATTTCCACACAGTTCCCATTTTTTCTGACTGCCTCGTTGGCCGAGTGGTCGCAAGTGCGACTGCCGAGCAAGGGGTCTCGGGTTCGATTCCCGGGTCGGGCAAAGTATTACTAGGTTTAAAAAAAATCTCAGTAGTAGCACGGAGTCTGGATTTGTGCCCAGTATATGGCAATAGGCTCACCCCCTATTCCATGGGACCCATCACATAAATAGTGAAAAGTGGGTGTTACATTGTACAGTGGCATAATGTGCACCTCTGCCTACCCCTTCGGGGATAAAAGGCGTGATGTTATGTTATGTTCCCATTTTTTCTCTTTTTAAATATAGCCTATGTTCATTAGAATAATGTAGAAACCCAATGATAACAGAATTTTTCAAATCGCTCCAGGAGTTTCTGAGCCTGTTCAATTCAAACAAACAAAAATATTAAATCTTTCCTCTTTATAATATTAGTGTTTATTGGTCATTGGTAGAATAGTAGATAGTAGGGGTTTAATATTGTAATATTTATTTATATTTTTCTACCAAGTTTGCAATTTGTCATGTAAGGCCTTTTCCTTTTTTTATAATTATTTGTAATGTATTACGCCTTGGTTTTATGACTGTAATGTTATACTATTTAATCGAAATAATAAATAAATAAATAATTATATTTTATACTAGCTGTGTCCGCGACTTCGTTCGCGTGGAATAGTGACTATGAACAGCGTTTGTTTTTAAATAATTATATACTTATTTTTATAATAGTGTTCGACGTGATTATTTAATTTGACATAACTTTTTTATTTATGAACCGATTGACATGAAACGAACACTAAAGCATAACTGAAGCATACCACAATATATTCGTGAAAACCGCATCCAACTCGGATCAGCCGTTTCTGAGATTAGCGTGAACAGACAAACAGACAAAAAAAAGTTAATTACATTTTTGGGTTCGACATTGACATAATAATAACCCCTGCTATTTTTTTATTTTTATTTTCAATGTACAGACAGCACTTTTCTACAATTTTATTATATGTATAGATGAACCACGATGAAAATAAAGAAACAATCCAACGACATGAATGTGTAGATGCATATAATATGTTTGCTAATGTTTCCGCCAAAAAATTTTGATCAGATTTGAATAAAATTTTGTACAATGGGGTGATATACGTGGTGAACGCTATTTTGAGGTGATTTAACACTCAATAGCTAGTCGATATTCAACTTAACAGCTGGTACCTATCTACGACTATACTATATGACCAACCCTCCTTTTCAAATTCCAGCTTGAAACCAGCAACCTTACTTCACGTCGGGGATTTGATGAGATGACGACGTGATGTTATATATAGTTACGTAGCTGTATTTTTAATTTTAATCTTAAAAGGAGTGGCGACACTCGCCACGGGATTCCCGAACACTTATTATTACTTGGAAACTGCTGAACTTCATATCATTAGGTCATTGTCGGTTTCATATAACACTGGACTTATAAATATGTACTCGCTACATTAATCATTAGTACACACGATGATTTCTAAGAGAACACATTCGGGACTCTTCGTTCTGTTATTCGCATTTTGTGCTGTTTCTGCAGACGATGGAGTTATTAAAAGTAGTTTAGCGTTCGTAATAGATGATACGGCATCTATGTGGAATGAAATAAATCAAGTGAAACAAGAAGTTAACATTATATTTGAGAAAGTGCTAAGTTCAAAGGCATCACAGATAGAAAATTTTGTGCTCGTCACGTTCAACGATCCGTGTAAGTCTTTAATATTTTACTAGTGCTACTGTCACCCCTTAACCCTTAAGACTTTTATCTCCTGAAGGGGAAAATGAACATGTACCTTTTTAATAGTAAATGGCATTACATAGTTTTCGAGCCTCGTGTATCGTCTTATTGATTCCAAATAGATGGAACATATAACATAGACTTTCCTGATGTCCAATCCAATCCAAACAGCAAACCTATGTAACTAGTAAATTGTATTGTGAACCTGATTGAAAAAGAGTAACCTATGGAGTTTTTTGCTCGTTCTTCTCCATAGGAATCTACACCTTGGAATGAGCAAATAGCTTCACTTTTAATTTTCTTTTGTTGACGTTCAAAAGTGCCATTCTGGCCTAGTTGGAATAAATGATTTTGACTTGACTTTTGACTTGACTTGACTTGTCCTTGTTTGGGTTGAACCAAACTTCTTAGCTCTTCTATCTACTAAAAACAACTTGTTATAATTTTTTATCTGTTTTCGTCATTTTATATTGCGCATCATGCATGTGGCATTATATGTATGTAATTTGGTCTTTCGGGTTTAATCCAGTAGTCAGATATAACGAATACCACGTGACATACGATGCATAAGTCGATAAAAAATTATTTTTAGCGGTACTAACATTGCCATCTGTTGCCTATAGTGAATGAATTATTGAATGTTACTAATGGGTTGGTACAGTGACTGGGCAACCGGCTGCCGTGCAACGTGTCACGGGTTCGATTCCCGCACGGAGCAACTCTTGTTGTGTGATCCACAAATTGTGGTTTCTGGTCTGGGTGTCGTGTTTATGTGAACTTATATGTTTGTAGAATGCCTACGATACAGGAAAAAATCCTAGTGAGAAGCAAATTTTTTTTTTAAGTTCTATTTGTGGTATAATCAAAAGGGGTTATTACTTTGAAATATTTACTTTATCTACTTTTGTTTTAGACGCTAGCCTGCGTACCGTCACCACGAAACGGGATGAATTTAAAAGCGCTTTGGCTTCAATACGAGTTCATGGAGGCGGTGATTGCCCAGAATCTGCCATGGAAGGCATAAGCTTAGCACTTCGAATTAGTATGCCCCACTCATATTTATACGTTTTCACTGATGCATCAGCTAATGACTACGCAAGGTTTGAACAGGTCAAGAGTCTTTCACAGAAGATGCAGAGTCAGGTAGTTATATTGCTATTTTTATTATTCTCCTTTTTGCATGCAGTGTAATATTCGATTTTGTCACATTTTTTTACTGACGGGGTAGGAAAAAGAGTGAGCATAAGTATATATAAACATAGTCTTTATGTAAATTGGGGAAAAAGAAGAAAAATGTTTTGATAATAACTATCGTAAGACATAACTAAAATAACTAAAAATCGCGTGATACTTACGTGAATATAATGAGAAAAGCTCTACTAGTTTCGAACCACAGAAAGGTTCTTCCTCATGAGTTACGGCGATGTCGCGCAGCCTACTTAAGCTAAAGTAGAGCTTTTCTCAATATATTCACGTGAGAATCCCGCGTTTTTTGGTTCATTAATAAAAATATGTTACAGTATACTTTATACTTAAATCATTTACAAATTTTCAGATTGTTTTTATATTGACTGGCGAATGCAACGGTAGAAGCGGTGCTGATTACCAAGTATTTCACCAATTGGCAGAGGCTACCTCTGGTCAAGTCTTCCATATGATGAAAGATGACGTGAAAGATGTAAGAATTGTTGTATTTTTTAAACTTCCGCGTGGTGTCTCCCTCTCTACACTCAGCGCCTATTAATCGTAGCGTTATATTTATAGCCTATATAGCCTTCCTCAATAAACGGGCTATCCAACCCAAAACTATTTTTCCAAACCGGACCAGTGGTTTCTGAGATTAGTGCGTTACAAATAAACTCTTCAGCTATATGTAATCAGTATAAATAACATAAAAACACCCCTCCGTACATTGTAACACCAATTTTCACTATTTATGTTATGAATCCCATGTAATAGGGGGTGAGCCTGTTGTCATATAGGTACCGAGCATAATGCCAGACTCAGTGATACTAAGAATTTTTTAAAATCCCAGCATACTTTGTCCGACCCGGGAATCGAACCAGAGGCCCCCTTGCCCGGCAGATGCATTTGCGACCACTGGGCCAACGAGGCCGTCATAGTCAAGTATAAATAAAAGATTAGTAAGCAAAATTTTAATCAGAATAATAACTCTGTCGATCTCTAATGCCGATAAGCGTGTCGGCTACTGCTCTGAATAGCTGAAAATCTCGATAAACATCTATTGACAATGACAGTAGGTATATGGTTGGGTCAAAAGCTTTATACAGAAGCCAGCAACTTCTCCATTTTGAGTTTCAAAACTTGAAGACAGAAGGAGAAGTGCATAAACAAACAAGTTTTATTCGTATTTTTCCTATACCTAACAACCTGTCTATCCACTAATCTTGAAATAAAATGATATGAAGTGTAATGAATGATATTTATTTCTGCAAATAGGTACAAAATAACACTTTTACACGCGAATCATTAAATCACAAGATGAGGGGAATCCAAGAAAGTTATAGGTACATCATTATTATGGGTTCTATGTAATGTGGATCTTGGCTTATAAGAATTGCTACGATTTTGTACGTCTTTTGAAAATTCATCAGATGTTTAATCAAAAAATTTTCTTTATAAGCTCTAAATGTTACGAAACCTAATGATACACGTTAAATCATATATATAATCAGAACATACATAAAAGTTGTTTATTAATTTAAAATAACCCTTTGTAAACGTTAATTCAATAATAACTATTAGATATGGCAAAACTGTAAAATCGAAATTTCTGATAGTTTTACTTTTTTGTCTACTAATGTAAGATTTTCACAGATATTGAAGTATATTGAAGAGTCTATCACAGGCATAGGAAGCAAGCTTGTCGACACCAAATTGCCGCCTGGTTATGGTAAAAATCTTACAGTAAGTACTTTATTTTTCTTACAGTAAATACTTTATTTTCACTTCCATAAGACTTATAACCTTGGCTTCAAAACTAAATAGTATCTATAAAGTTAATTTTAGGACATATTGACACTTTATATCTTATTTGACGTTTGTCATTTGAAGATTGTGGGGGATTCAGGGTTTGGGGAGTTCGGGGAGAGGGGGGTAATTGAGCCTCCTGTAACCTCACTCATACGACGGAACACAACGCATTGTTTCCCGTCAGTTTTCTGTGAGGCCATGGTATCACTCTGGTCGAGTCGGCCTATTTGTGCCGAATCATGGCTCTCCCACACTTAAACGTCTTCTTGATCTAATTGAAATAAATTATTTTGACCTTGACTTTCACAACTGATCACAAGATTATATTAGATTCAGCTACTAATGTTTAATCTCGGGGAACTGTAGAACAATTAATTTCGAACATTTCTGTCAGCTTGCAAACAAATTCGTATAAATATTACTTTTCGTTCTCAGTATACTGTCGACCCCCACACTGGAGATGTACTGATAGCTATAACTGGGAAAATACCTAAAATCGGCGATGTAATTGGTCCCGATGGAAGTCGACCCGATACATCACACATAATATCAGGAAAATCTGAAATGGCGGTAAGTTTTCTTATAATTATCTAGTATTTATGAGATATTATACTACGAGAAGTATAATATAAAATAAAAATTTGCATAGATCGAAAATAATATCCTTTTGATAAAATAATTAATTAATGAGTCGCTATTTTTATGCCTTAATTAAAAACGTCTATAGTGACATCTGTTGGATATGATGTCAGAACACATCAGGTGGAATTGATGCCTGTAGCCATTATATTCATTTAGAATAAGTCGACCTGGATTCTAGGGGGTATTACTATACTCCTAAAATCTTGTATAAGGCACCCTATAAATGGCACCAGCTATTCAAAGACTGTAAGTGCCTGTTTCAAAAGGTCTGGATTTATTTAGATTATTATTATCCCTAGATAAATTAAAAATTATATTTGTATTAACTATCTGTCACATACCATGTTTATCGGGTATTTATACATATGAAGATGGTAAAACAGTCAATTTTTGTCCGTTAATAGGTGGTGAAGGTGACCGGTGCAAAGCCAGGAGAACACGTCGTGTCGGTCGGAAGCATGTCCGAAACGCATGCAGTTGTTAGTGCAAAAAGCACAATTAATTTTCATCTCGGATTTAATGTGTTTAAACCAAAATCCAGCAAAGATATCGTCACGAGACCACCTCCAAGTTTGTATAGATTTTCCTATTACATTAAGTTTTGACCGCGACTCCGTACGCACAAATAGGTGTTTCCGGGTTTTACCGTTGTCGTTAGAATCTTAGCAAATCCTTTCTTAGTAATCGCTTACACTCCCTAATGAACATACATACATTATACATCTAAGTTTCAGCTTCCTAGATCCCTAGGTTTCTAGCCAAAACTACTGCAGTTTTGGTTAGGAACCAATCAGTTATTCAGTCATACAATATCAAATTATGTTGATAAGACCAACACTACTGGCTTGGTACAAATACCTTACCCAAGGATACAATTAAATAGAGATTACGTTGATGTTGTGAAGCTTGTTATTTTTTTGCAGAAGGAAATGTGTTCATGGGTGTCAAGTTACTCGGGCCAGGAGCCAAACTAGAGACAGTCCAAATACTTGGAATGAGGGATGAAGTCATAGAGGAACTAACATTAGAACTATTAGATGAAAAATCGCAATTCTATGTAACGCCATCATTTAACCCACCGTCTACTATGTTCCATGTAACTGTGAGTATGTTTTTATGGCTTAAAGCGGCAAACAAGCAAACGAATCACTTGATCAGCTTCAGTGAACACCCGCAACACTAGAGCACATACGAGTGCATTGCCGGAATTTTAGAGATTGCGAAATTGGACTGCATGGTGGTGCGGTGTCTCTGCAACCGGCTGCCGCGCAACGTGTAGCGTTGTGTGATCCACAAATTATTATTGTTTCGGGTATGGGAGTTATGTGTATGTGCACTTGAATGTTTGTAAACGTAAAAAAATTGTGGTTAGACGATTGGTAACTCGACTTACTTAATTTTGGAGGTATTCATAACAGTTTATACAGCTGTTTTTTGATATATGTACACATACACATACCAATCAAAAGCAATATGTTATTGTGTCTGATAAAATGGTGATCTTCTTTAGCTCATATACATGTTTTTCTCTTATAGATAAAAGGATACGACGTTAATACTAAAGCGCCAGTAACGAGAAGAAGTCCAACACCAATATCCAGACAAGATTTGTCCACAGGTAAAATATTTGTCTTAATTTTATTTATTTTGAACTAGCGAACCACCCCGGTTTTGCGCGGGTGCAATATGCATGTATTATTAACCTTCTAAAAATCACTCTATTTATTAAGTGTAGTTATAAAGATCTAAGTATACATAGAGACAGACAGACGGCGGATAGCTACTTTGTTTTATACTATGTAGTGAATCCACAAAGGTACACACATAATAAATTAATAGTAATTTTCAAATGTATCTGGTACGTGGCCGCTGAGTTAATAACAAAATAAAAGAAAAATATAAGATTGTTAATAGTTGACCTGTTAAAATTTTTGGATCTTCACCAAGTCGAGCTCCAATTCATATTCAGACATTATGAAACTGACCTTAAAACAAAAACTTCTGAAACAAAATTTTTTTATATATATATTTGATTTATGTATATATAACATAAAATAATAATATTTTTGAATTGTCCTTCTTGTTTTTAGATTCTGAGGTGAAAGTTGACACTGCGCCAAAAGTAACGATTGATGGTGATACGTCGATAACCCTATACGTTGATGATCCATTAGAACTAACTTGTAAAGTTCACGCTTATCCTGAACCAGAGATAATATGGGAGGATAGAGACATTGGGATTGTTATGCCTGCTGAGGTAATTACGCTTTAACACCTGATAATTATAATTCTATTTATATGATCAGCTTGATCTCGTATTAAACCCAGCTTAGATAATACCATCTATAACAATTTCAAGAAAATGAAATACTTATTTATTAAACATTTTTGTTATACAATATTTGCAGATGAACATAGTCGAAGTACCCTATGATTATGTAAGTGTTTTAAAAATAGACAAGGCAAACAGGAATACCACCTACCAATGTAAAGCTAACAACCGCAAAGGAAACGACGTTCAAGGCGTAGAAATTACAGCAAAAAGGAAATTCTTTTTTGATGTCATCGATTCACCTAAAGGTAACCTACATCTTCAAACTATCTATGTAGGGTAATTTCAGGATAGATGCCGCAGTTGAATAGATGTCTCGATTTCAATTTGTACTAGTAGTAAAGCAGCGAGACCAGTACCTACATAATAGCAGGCACCCTTTCTGCGAACGTAAGATTGAGCGATATGTATGATCGTAAACGTAAGCGCACGTGTTTTTCTGTAAGTGCAATAATCATCCGCAGACAGATCGCGTTGGGCGTGAAAATAATATGTGTAAGTTTTTGTTCTTTATTTTTCTTTTTAAATATATTTGTTTTTCCTCTAGCTTTAACTGTTATTGGTTATTTTATATTTTCTTTCTAATAAAAATGTAAGAACTCATGTAAAGCTCTGTTTATATTATTATCATATTATAGAATACTTTATTAGTAAGTCTTATCTAACGAAATTTTTACTACTACTCTGAGAGTCAAATCTGAGAAGACTGCAGAAATACAAGTTCTATGACTTTCTATGATTTTTAGTCAGACTCTTCCTGACTAAAAACCAACTGACTTTTGACCTACGAAAAAATTATGTTTGTTACTTATTATATATTTTTAAATAAATTACAACTAATATATATAAATATAGCTGGCTTTACTTTAAAGGGCGTATATCCCTCGATTCATTTTGCAGTGAGTCGTCTATCCCTCACGGAAGATACCTATCCCATTTGAAGAGGTCATAAAAACGATTTACACAAATCCCATACAATTTACATTAAAATTAAAATAAATATATCTACATACCAAAATAGTTAACTAGAGACCAAAGCATTGGATACATGGTTGTAATAGGATAAATTATAGAAATACAACGCTATTTCAAAATGTGGGATATCTATCCTTAAGTAACCCTATTATACCCTTAAATTCACAGACATCGTAAATATAAATTAGCAGTAAAAAAAACTGACAAAGAAAAAAAATAGCAAACACCGTTTATTGTCACTTAAACATATTTTTTTCTTTGTAGATATTCGTATAGAATATGCAAAAGAAGGTAAACTTGTTTGCAAGATAGACGCCTACCCATCGGCCACTATCAATTGGTATAAAGATGCAAAGCCTTTGTCTAGTAGTAGCCGTATTGAAATATCCAAAGATAAGACAGTAGTGACTTTGAAAGACATGCAACCTGGTATGGAAGGAAAGTTCATGTGTGAAGCAAGAAACGATATAGAGAGGAAAGTATTTTATTCACACGTCGAAATATTTGGTATAGGTAAGTCAACTGTACACATCTATACGATATCATAAAGAGGAGAGTTCTATTTGTTCGGATACTTAAGGTAATATTTATTTCAGAAAAACCTGTTATCGATAAGTCAGTTGATGAAATTCGTATAACAGAGAAAAAAAATGGTGAATTATCTTGTAGGTAAGTTCATAATTATGTAACTTGATGAACGTTGCATGTAAGAATGCGTTCTTACAGGTTCTTACATGCAACGTTCATGCGCTCGCATCAAATTATGCGATCGCGCGCTCGTACAACGATGGCAACTGTATATCGTCGGTGCGCCTGCCAAAACTGATATGTACAAATACTTTGTTTTTTTTTCTTAGCTAGATGTCCTCCAAATCGGATAACGCATCGATTACAAAAACAAATATGTGTTATTTCCCTCTAGAAAGCGATTAGACCAATCTTATAATTATGTGCACTTTCTGGCCATGACAAATTGGTTATGTGTTCGATTGGTTACGGGTTATGTGACATAAAACATCATATAGATAGTTTGGCAGATTGAATATCAACAGTTTTTGTTTAAAATTTTTACCGTTTTCTTAGATAAATCTAGTATGTGCACCAAAATGGAAAATATAATTATTGGGAATGAACAGCACATGCTATCATTTTCACTTTTATCTCAGTTATTTTTATCATAATTTTTGCCATCATACTGCATTTTTAATTTATTGCTAAGTCCATTAACCTTTCAGTGCAAGTGTAAAAAATAGTTTATTATCTCCACCTGAAAACTTGACTGAAATGCACATAACAGTTTTGGCAGGCGCACCGACGATATCGAACAAATGTGCGATTATTATGTCTCGCGTTTAAGTCTACGTTTTTTTAAGTTTGATCTATCTTGATTCACATAAACTTGTAATGTTCACGTATTATCATTCTGTATAAACCTCATCTACATCAACTTCGCGAGTTGGTTTGCGAGTTTCGCCCTATTGGGCACTAGCATGCATAAGTCAAAATACCAGACTTTGTTTTACCTTTTTCCATATTTTTGTAATGGTGGGACCATATACTGACATCCTGACACATAGAATTATATCCAACTAATAGAATTTTATTCAACTATACCATACTCTCCTACATACATACAACTTCAAGCCAGTCTCCCATGGGGATAGGCAGAGACTATGGAACGCCAATTGCTACGATTCCTACATATGTCTTTCGCTCCATCAACAGCCATCAATCTTTTCGTGCATTGCAATGCATGCTCTTCGGTTACTTATAATGTGGCCCTTCTTAAATATATTGCCAATCTGGTCAGTATAATATGTCTATCTACTACATTATATTTGCCACTATATGACCAATGTTTATAAACTTTATTATTACAGAATTCTTAAGGGGATCCCAAAACCGACTATAACCTGGTCGTTCCGAGGTCCGGGCAAAAAAAAGAATTTAAAACAAACCGGAGAGACCATAAAGTTGAAAAATGTTCAAAGAGACCAAAGTGGTCTGTACATATGTACAGCGACAAACGTCTTGGGAACAGATAATCACGAAACAGAAGTTATAGTAGAATGTAAGTATGAACATAATTTTTTAATTTAGCACACAGTATAATTGTAGAAATTTTAGGTACTTAAGATAAAAATTATATAACCATTAGGCCTGAGAAGGAAAATTATATTTTATAATGTATTATTCAGATCCACCGCGTATTAAAAGTGATGTAAAGGAAATGAAGATTGTAGATGACGATGAAGCAAAATTGACATGTGACGTAGTAGGAGTGCCGGCGCCAACGGTATACTGGACATTCAATAGTATCAATGTAACGAGTACTTCAAGAACTAGAATTACTACCGATTACAGTCTTTTGTAAGTAGTAGCAGCACAATACTGTTGTACCTATGTACCTAAAAATATGTTATAAATAATTAGAATAACTTGAAAAAATACCTAAAAACTTTTTGTTGGGTAGAGGCAGGGTGCTCAAAAGTCATGTAGCATAACTACATTGAAAAGCAATCGTCATCCTTTGCTCTAATAAGTAACCATGTTGTCATCTTCGATAAGCGTTGATGAAATTTCATCTATCCCGATTAAAAAATTGTTCATTTCCATTATACATGGATGACTTGTGCGATCAGTGCCACATTCAATTTTTTTGTTTTTCGGAGCCTGATTAATCCTATTCGTAAGGCGATGCAAACTGTGCAAATAATTACAAGCCGACATCAGTTTCACCTTGCCTTTCTAAAGTCCTCGAAAATATGACACATAATTGACTGAAAAAATACTTAAACGCATAAAAGAAAACAGAAACCCTTAAATAAACAATATTGTTTTAAAATTACTAGGTCAACACTTTTCTGCAAATCAAATCAAATCATTTATTTGCATAGGTTTATTGTATGGGCTTTGGATAGAATCACATAATATATTATTACTTTCGTAAGACATACTTAATTAATTATTATGTTTATAATTATGAGGTCTTCATCAAATAACAACGGAACAGAGAAACCCAAAAAACATAATAATTAACTTTGGATAGAAGTAAAAAAAAAATTGCAATGGTTTTGGATCGGACTAAGGCCTTCGACACTGCCGTCATCCCAAAACTCATTGATAAGTTGGAGTGTACAGGTTTGAGAGGTCGAGGACAAAATTGACCAATTGGACACAACGCGTAAAGATTGAAGACTACCATAAGCTTTTGGATGATGAGTTTGGTGTGCCACAAGGAAGCATACTTGGACTCACATTTTTCCTAGTTTATATCAATGAAATGTGCAAACTTAAAATTTCTGAGGGCATGCTACGAGACTAGGCGACGCCGACAGTACAAAAATAGAATGATAGGACATTTCCTATTACCTTAGATTGACTATGCCATATACCTTCCAATTATTATGTTAATAACCCCATGTTAAATCTACAAAGCTAAATATATTTTCTTATATATTTCGCTACAGATGCAAACAGATTTTGAAGGAAAGTCGTTTCTACTGATTAAATATTCACATCATAGTTATTATCTTTTGTTATTATACTTTATTATCATTGTATTTACGCAAATGTCGATGTAGGGTTATTCATATCGTAAAATTTTATGTAATTACTTCAAGGTCATTTTATGTACATAACATTACGTCATTTATTCCTAAAAAGGTTAAGCAGATGTGGTAACTAGTTAAGCTTTTATAGTTTTCATAGCTGTAAAAGTTACGAGCCTATTGTAATTAGAGATAAATACAGATTCTGTGTCAACGGAATAATTTTATGTCGTATTAAACTGTGAAATCGAATGACAACATAACTATTGTACTATCAGTTACACCGTACATCCTTCCCAGAAATAATGTCATCTCTGTCTCGGTTTATGGTTAAACTTAAGAATAATATGAGACATTCTGGGAACAAAACATCATGTAAAAAGTAGGTACTACGATAAATCGCACGCAGTCACAGACAGATGTTGTTAAAAAAATCATTCTGTATGTATAGGTGCGATTAATAAATAAAAAAACATGAATTTTCAGAATCAAAACTACTTTAGCTGACACTGGAGACTACGGTTGTCATGCAGAAAATGAGCTTGGGAAAGATGAACGCAAAGTTTTTCTACAAGTATATGGTAAGTGAAATGATATCAAATGTTCTTTTTCTTCAACAGTGGACTTGTAGAATCTTTTCTTTGGAGTGTTATAGTCTCGTTGTTATTCATCTCATTTCTTAAGTTAAAACGTACGAGATATAAATTATCGTTTTTAAGCTTTATTTTGTTTTCACAGTTCCAGTGACTATTGAGAAACCGAAATCTAATTTAGTAGAGACCATGGTTGGCAGTGGAACGTTGCTAAATTGTAGAGCCGATGGCCACCCCAAACCAGATATAAAATGGACTTTCCACGAAACTCCTGATGCTCTTGGTATAGATGTTACGTAAGTTTTTTGGAAAAGCATAACTTCAAAATCCGGGAACCTATTACAATGGATGGTTACAATTTTTAATTTTTAATTCCTCAGCTAGGTGAAATATTTTTTTTTCACTTCCTCGTGATGCAGCACTCTAGGCTAAGAATTTTTTTGTCGTTTAATATTGTTTTATGGAATGGGAATTTGGGGTATTCAAATATTTTTTTAATTACTATATTTACATTGTGATTAAAATTTAAGATTGTTTTCTACTAGGTCTTCTAAGCACCCTTCGCTACTGCTACAGAAACTGCAGCTCAAGCAACAAGGCTTTTACATGTGCTTCGCTGAAAATGCAATAAGTGGATCAGCTAATATAACTTACGAAGTGAAAGTGTATGGTATGTAGCGTTTATTATTTACAATGTTCTTCCATTGACGTACAACTCGTGTAGGTTTTTAAATACCTTATAGATTAGATGTTTGTATTATCTCATTGCTTATGTTGACTTTAATAATTTGTTTAAGTTCTACACCAATGGATTTGTATAGGCCTTTTTGTATGAATCCATCAAAAAACAAGTGACCAGTAAGTCACATTCATTTTTGTATCGGTTCTCCTACTTATTCAAAATGCTTTCTTGTGAATTTGTGACAACTGAGACTAAATTACTAAATATTAAATATCAATTTTCAGCGCCACCAGTTATACAAAATGTGTATCAAGTAAATCGTTTGAAGCGATTAATGGAGACATGTTGCTTAGGATTCAATGCAAAGCTACTGGCAGCCCTACACCTATCATTACCTGGCAGAAAGATGGTCTAAACTTGGCAATGGGTAACTAATCTTAACTGTACAATAAATGCTATTTGAATAATATAATATACGGCTCACTAAAAGGAACTGTTTATGTCGAGAAAATCTCTACTTGGTGAAACGTCAGCCTGCTACGCACATTGATCATAAATAAGAGTACCATCGTGACTTGAGACTAGTATTTTTATGGCATAAGCTGGTAAACGAGCAGACTGATCACCTGATGGTAAGCAATCAAGCCAACCACTGCACCAACCAGATAATCATTCATTACGCCTTATTTCAATCCATATTAACTTTAGTACCATTGAAAAATCAAAGATTTAGTTTAGTCATTTGGTAATTCTATCAGAAGTGTTAATAATTGTCAATTTTATAGATTTTAAAATTACAAATTTTATAAAACAAACATTAATTTGCTATCTCATAAATTGTACGGATACAGATAAAGGAAACATTGTAAAAAAACTAATAATAGACGCCATTTTTCCAAAGCGGCGGCATGAGAACTGAGCAGTGCGAGGTAGCAAAATGGAATTTGAAAAAAAAAACAAAAAACCTATAAAATCGACAAGATGACATCCATTTTTCTGACCAAACAACTAAAAAAGTAGGTGCAGCAACATTAATTCATTTAACCAAGGCTTGGCTGACGATCTTGCGTCTTAACTATTTGACATAAGTTACACAGGCAGGAACTTGACATGTCCTGAATTATAGTTTGTTTCCTCAGGGTCTGAATGGTATGGCATGGAAGATGACGGCACTTTGCTCATCAAAAACATAGACCGTACTGCAGAAGGTACATACATGTGCCTGGCAGAAAATGTTGTTGGCAAAGATAGTGACTATTACGAAGTTATTGTAAAAGGTAAGAAATCACTAGGGATGAAGTTTGTTAATAACTTGTAAGGTTCAAAGAAATTTAATTTCTTACCTTTCTTCTGAAAAAAATGCACGTGCGTCATATGTTTCAGATTTATTAACTGTGGCACCCTCAAAGACTTTATATGTACGCGAAGGTGAATCCATTGAAATCAAATGCGAAATACCACATAGAATTACAGATCAATTGCGTTGGTTTAAGGTAATTTGATATTCGAGGGAGTTTTAAAAATTGATCAACAGTTACGATAAGGTATTTTTCTTTTTCATAAACAGGACGGAAAAGTGCGGATAGAACGAGATGAAATATATTTATCCAATGTAACTCGGGGTGACGATGGAGTGTATTCTTGCCGTGTGTCCGATTTCTTCAAAACACGATCTATGGCCATTAAGCTAGTGGTTGGATATAAACCGATATTTACTAGCGAAGTAGAAGAAATCATAGAATTTGTCTACGAGTCCGAACCTATGTTACTTAATTGCGAAGCTTATGGCGAACCGAGACCTACGGTAGGTAAATTTCAAAGCATAATGTACTTCTTACTACTTAACTACTCACTGTTTTGGAAATATTTATTTAAATTTTCTTGGCATAAATCAGTGAAAAGTAATAAATCAGTCTCTGGAAACTGGGCTCTAATCAAGCGGATGCCCGAGCGTACGGCGCTTCGCGTTCCGCGCGTGCTTCAAAGAGCCATTAGACCACCACGGACGGGGCCCAACAGGGCTGATGCCAATTCGGGGTCACGGAGAACTTAACGGGTTACAGGGGCTCCGGCTCGAAGTGCAGGAGAAGGAACGGGGTGGTTTTTAGTCAGTAAGAGTCTGACACTCCCTCCCGCCTCACCCAGGTGGGAGAACCAAACGACCCTGGGAACCCTCTTAAAAAAAAGTAAAGCGGATGCACACCGCTTTTTGATATTTTTTTATACTACACTTATTTCGACGTGTACAGATACACATATATACATATCTTCCCCCCCATTAATACAACTGAAGTTCCCTTTGTATTCTCGATATACTCGTTCATTTACAGAGCGCGACGTGGACTCACGACGGCGTGGCTATGGATATTACGGACATGTCCTATGTATTAGGAATGGAATTAGGTGCTACAGGAATTTATGAATGTGAAGTCAGCAATAAATTTGGCAGCATACGTCGATCGTTCAATGTCACATCCCGAGGTAGGATTCCGTTTTGTTTTTTCTGTCCTTTTTTATCTAGAACTTCTACCATTTATGTAAACAGGTTCGTCACGAATTTTGGCTAAAATCAATAAGTTTCGACTCTAACTACTGCCATTGATATTCAAACTAAAAAAAGTACTGCCCTTTCTTTCTTCATAATGATAAGGTAAAGTGACGTTGTTAATTTTTTTTCAGATTGCATATTGGACATCAAAAAATCCTTCATAGGAAAACATCCCGTTATGTTTTCAACGTCTGGTGGATGGTCTGTTTTCCGAATAACTAAGCACCACATGATAATACCACATGGAGGTTATTTTTATATGAGATGCCCTTCAGGATTCGTTAACTCTGCACTCTCACTGTATTCGAACATTATGGCATATTGTGTACGGGACAACATCGTAAAAATAGCAGGAGAGCCTTACAATTTTGCAGATTTACAATGCAATAAAGAAGTGACACCTAACATTGAAAACACAGAAAATAAATGTTTTGGTGATAATACAGAGTATGTAAATGTAGGGTTTTGGGCCCAGGGTAATTATTTCATGGAGGTATATAGCGTTTGTTTTGACAAAGTAAATGATGTTCCCTTGTTCGCGAAGCATAAACTGTCTCCGCACCATACAGATATTTCTTCAACGTCTCAATGGTACAGCTCTTCTGATATATCTGCTGAAGACTTTGAGGAATTGTATAATTGTAGAAGGCAACTGTATGATATCAGCACAGCTCTAAAAAGAAGGTTACGTTCTAATTCTTGCTGCTATGGTAGAAGACAACTTGTCAACTCACGGGATTTGCTTCCTGGAATACCAGCGACGGCGTCTTTTGAGTATAAAAATGTTGTTCCACATTGGAACTCTTGCAGTTCAAAGGTGAGTTAAGTGCTAGTTTCCAACTAACAGTACCAGTACAAGTTACTTACAGAAGTAAGTTTCTTTAACAAGTAATACTTGGAGATAGGAGTCCAGGATTCCTTGCACGCCAGTCGCATTTGCAGCTACTTTATTAACATGACAGTAATAAAGAGTTTTATGGTTTTCAGAATTGGGACGATTTGGAAGTATTGGTAAGGAAGCTGGTAAAAAAAGCCGGTCGTGACTTGATCGTGTTTACAGGCACGTCAAACGTAAACCACGACAAATTGTCTGTTGATATAAAAATTAACAATGGCCGAGAAAGACAACAAACAATTCCGCTCTACTTGTGGAAGGTAAGTCCATAGACAACCAACCGTCATGATGTTTAATCCTAAAATGGTTATCACCTCAATATATTTTTCACGTATAGAGCTTGCCAAATACTGTGCACATTTCCAAATTCTGTAATAATTACTTAGAACCGTAAAATAATTCAGGCCAGGGCAGCACGTTTAGAAACCAATAAGGTATTAGTTACTGTAGTATATTCAACTGCATAATTGTTTCAGGTGGTTCAAGATCCAGCTACAGATTCAGCAATTGCGATAATACAAGTGAATATACCAGAGTTAACTCGAGAAGAAGTAAAGAAAAATTACGTTCTGTGTTTAGATATTTGTGATAACATTGACTGGTTGGACGGGCCAGAATGGGATGACGTGGACAAGGGCTATACGTATTGTTGTAACATGAAAGATTTCGAAAAAGCCTTCGGATACACCCGCCCTATCACTAGCATGAGACGAGTCCTCTTCGATGCTAGTTTGACACCAGATACCTTTTTGCTTGGTTAAAAAATTTTAGAAGTAATTTTAAAGCAGTATTTATGAAAGTGTTATACGTATAGGAGTTTATAATAAAATATGTACTTAATTATACGGCTCTACATAAATTTCATTTATGATTGTTCTCTTGTGGCTAAATTATTGTGTTTTATAAATATACTTTAAAGAATTAAATCTAAGAAGTACCTCAGAACAAAAGTAAAGAATTGGTTGGCTGGTAATGAGGGCAATTTTTGACGCTCTGATCAAGCAGTTTATACTTCACTCGAGTGGCTAAATCTTGTGGTACCTAATGTAGAACAGTATCCAACATAGACATTCACATTTCTCTTATAAAATACTATTTGACACATTTGATAGTCCTGTGGAAGACATTTATCTTCCAAATGAAATAACTTTCTTCGGTTTTTTTTTTAATATATGCTGTGAAGATTCGTATTTTTATGTTTGTGAACTCCTTCTGAATTTTGTTTTTTATTGTTTTCAGTTTAATAAATTGTATGTTTCCTAACGCAATTAAACCACTTGTTCCCGTGTTCATTTATTTATATCAATCTGTAGGAGGGTATCTTGTTTATTATATCAACGTTAACTGGTTAAATCTGCCTTTCAATCAGCACCTATATAGGTTCAGGGTGTCCAGTAAATAGTGCACCATTGTGTGAGGGGAGATACCAGAGACCAATACCTACCTAAACAACCCAATATATCTATAGGCAGTTTTTTTTAAGGGGGGAAAATCATCGTATGACTGGTCCCGCCTGGGTGAGGCGGGAGGGAGTGTCAGACTCTTACTGACTAAAAACCACCCCGTTCCTTCTCCTGCACGTCGAGCCGGAGCCCCGGTAACCCGTTAGGTTCTCCGCCACATATATAGGCAGTTTACTAAACAGCGCCGTTCAATTAAGTTCCCACTGACACCACCTAGAGGCACCCCGACACATTTCCTAGATCTACAAACTCTCAATAAAAGTCCAGACAGCTCTGTGATTATAGTTCATTCCGAACTTTTATCACCATTCACTTGGTAACTCTTAAAATAAAATGGATTATTGTCACAAAAATTTCACATTACATTACATTACATTACATTACATTACATTCAAAGAAATATTACGCATTAAAAAAAGGGTAGATGCCTAATTTTTATTTAATGTGCGTCCATTAATCTATAAGAAAATGTCCTGTATACTATATAATCTAAATAAATAAATGACCCTATGGGATTATCGTTTGATCAGTTGTAATAATGGATTGGAACAGAAAGTTTGGTGTGTGTATGTGTGACTTGACATTATAACACAACTGGCAAAAATTGACAATTATAGGGTAGATGACTAATTTTTATTTTATAGATTATTAGAAAAGAACTGAAACTTTCATTTTTGAATGAAATATTTTAATTCTATAACTATTTACTATACGTATACAATAGGGTAGTTTCCTAAAATTTATTTTAATGTCCGTCTTGTAGATTATTTAAAAACATTAGACACGTATTTTTTATTTTCTTACAGAAACGAATACTTTCGACGATATATTGATTTGAAATGACGCGTGACGTCACTTCTCTGTACATTTTATACGCAGAAATGACGTTTTAGCCCCCACTTCTAAACTTTGATTCGTTTCATCTAAGTATTGTTTTATTATAAATGACAAAATAAAAAAATACGTGTCTAATATTTTTTATTACCTATCTGACGGACTAATTAGATTTTTAATTTTCATACTGCTTTCCAAACTAAATTTCAAGCTTGTAATTAATAATATGTCTTAAAGATGCAGTAAACAGTGAAAACTTTTTTTGTTATTCTTGATAAGTCGACGTTTGGTCACCATCTCGTCTGTTGGTAAGCGATGATGTGGACGACGATGGAAATGAAGACTGAGCACCTATAAGGCAACCCGACACTATAGGTTAGAATGACCATATAACCAACTAGTAGGTACCTGATATCTGTTTCCATCAACCACTCTTAACCTAAAAGTTCGTTTAAGTGCTCCCTCTACGCTACTACTACGATATTACTTAGCATGACCTAAACGAACCCCTTACCTTTAGGTACAAGTCGGTGAAAACAAAACCCCTCATAATCCCGAAAGACAGGTCCGTATTAATTAAAAATAATTCTTTGAATAAATATTCGTCGTTTTATTCTCAAAATAAATATTGTTTTATCATCTGGCTTCTGATTAATATGATTTACTTTTATTTAGGTAATAAGATTCATTTGGCTTTTTAAACCAAATGAAATGTTATTTGTTTATTTTATTTTAAACTCGTCATGCCCAAGATACAGTCGCATACAAGGTGGACTTAATGCCGTGAACATTATTTTCCAGTCTGACGTTAAGGAGAGAGGAAGAGTAGGTATATGCCTAAACGGTACGTGCAAAAAGCAACAATGAATTTGAGTGTACAAAATTAAATTAAGAAACATGTACGTTGTAGATATGTATCTCTGTAATATGTGTATTTATTACATGTAGTGCATTACATGTAGCTAAGTGTGGGAGAACCATGCTTCGGCACGAATGGGCCGGCTCGACCGACCACGGCCTCACAGAAAACCGACGTGAACAACGTTGGGTTTCGTCGTGTGAGTGAGGTTACCGGAGGCCCAATCACCCTCCCCTTCCCCAATCTCTCCAATTTCTGAATCCCCAACAATCCTCAAACTCCTAATCCCCGAAAGGCCGGTAACGCACTCGTAACGCCTTGGTGTTCCAGGTATCCATGGGCGACGCCGGTTGCTTACTATCAGGTGATCTGTCTGCTCGTTTACCGGCTTATGCCATAAAATAATGTAGGTAATTATACATATGTACACATGTATATATAATAACACATATTTATATTGAAACGATGTCTAAATACAAGAACAATACAATACATACATATAACTATATAGTTAACTAGGTAGTATACCTACTGACAGTGGATACTCAGCGTGTTGATTCAGCCAACTTCATTACTGTCAACACCTAAGATAACCAAAGTACGGGTTTTTTACAGTAATATAATAATAGTTATAGATTAAAACGAAGCTGCTGAACTCCATATCATTAGGTCATTGTCGGAGTCACAATACACTGGATTTTTAAACACCTACTCGCTACACTAATCATTAGTACACACGATGATTTCTAAGAGAACACATTCGGGACTCTTAGTTCTGTTATTCGCATTTTGTGCTGTTTCTGCAGACGATGGAGTTATTAAAGGTAGTTTAACGTTCGTAATAGATGATACGGCATCTATGTGGGATGAAGTAAATCAAGTGAAAGAAGAAGTTAACATTATGTTTGATAAAGTGACGAGGTCAAAGGCATCACAGATAGAAAATTTTGTGCTCGTCACTTTCAATGATCCGGGTAAGTCATTAATATTTTACTTTAGCGGCAAAGGTACACGACCACGTAATAATGTCTCTTTTTTATGAACAAGCCAATTGTTTGAGCAGTCGGATCACCTGGTGGTAAGCAATCGCCGCCCATTGACACCTAAAACACAAAAGTGTTACAAGTGCATTACCGGCCTTTTGGGGATTAGGAATTTGAGGATAGTTGGGATACGGGGATTCAGGAAACTCGCACCTAGCTTCACTGACAGACAGACGGACGGGCAATTTAAAAGAGCCTAAAAAGTCAAAAGTCAAAAAAAGTCCAAGCATTTATTTCAATTAAACCATAGTTTGGTACTTTTGAAACGTCAACAAATACAAAATAAATAATAGTCTGTCAGTCAGTTCGTCAGTGAAACTAGGTGAAGCTAGGTGCTCATTCCAAAAAGTAGATTCGAATGGAGAAGAACGAGCAAGAAACTCCATTCGTTACTCTTTTTTAAAAAAGTATGTTCTACAATGTCTCTGATACATATTTCAATACTGTACGCATATGTAAGAACAATGCAAAGACATGCTTGACGGGCATTATACTAATAACTTACTAAAATTAAAAAAAAATATAAAAATCTTAAAGTCCAACATGGTGCCCACATATACATACTGACAATCCATAGAATTAGTGCTTCTATACAAGAAAAGGAAACTCTTTGTTTCAATAAAGAAATGCTCGATGCCATAAGGAAACTAGATTGTCTACATTAGAATTAAAGTGTTAAATTATGTATTAAAATACCTACTATTGGAATTTAGCTACTGACTACATTTGAGTATTGTCCAGTGGAGCCGAACCAACATGCTGCCAAGCATTCTTATCTTCAAGATAATCTGTCAGTGCGTAATAGGCTTGATTACATAATTCGCGCTTAATATATGTTTTAAATTTACTTTCATTGAGATCTAGTATGCTATTTGGTATTTTATTATAGCATTTAATACCTAACCCCATAAAGGATTTCTGTACTTTGGACAGTCTGAATTGCGGTATAGCTAACTTATTTTTGCCTCTAGTATTAAAATTGTGTCTATCGCTTCTTTTTTCAAACAATTGCCTATTTTTCCTTACATACATTATATTTTCATAATATATTGACAGGGCACCGTTAAAATATTTATCGTTTTAAACAATTCTCTCAGCGATTCGCAACGGCGTAAGTTATATATTGCTCGGATAGCCCGCTTTTGTAGAATAAATATTGATTCTATTTCTGCAGCTCGACCCCACAACAAAATGCCGTACGACATAATGCTGTGGAAATAACTAAAATAGACAAGCCTAGCTGTATCTACGTCCGTGAGCTGTCTAATCTGTCTAACTGCAAAAGCAGCTGAGCTCAATCTCCCCGAAAGCGCCTTTATATGCGGACCCCATTGTAGCCTATTGTCTAACGTAATGCCTAAAAATACTGTCTCGTCGACAAATTCTAACTTTTGACCGTTCAAAACAATATCACTATCGTTACTACGCACGTTTGGTAAACTGAATTTAATACATTTTGTTTTTTTCTCATTAAGTGCTAGATTATTAATGGTGAACCAATTATGCACTTGAAGAATGGAGCTGTTTACGTCGTCAAGATTATTTGTACGTCGATCTATTTTAAAAATTAATGATGTATCATCTGCAAAAAGCACCATTCGTGGTTCATTTTTAAATATAAATGGCAAATCATTTATATAGACTAAAAAGAGAAAGGGACCCAATATTGAACCTTGAGGAACGCCCATATTCATCCCAGAGCCCTGAGTTAATACCGTTAACATGAACCTTTAACTGTCTCTCTTCTAAATAAGATCTCATAAGACGGAGCGCAGAGTTTCTTATCCCGTAGTGATCTAATTTCAGCAAAAGTGTCTCGTGGTCAACGCAATCAAATGCTTTTGAGAGGTCACAAAAGACACCAATAGCATCCTGTGCTTCCTCCCAAGCACCAAATATTTCCTTAATCAAAGTGACACCGGCGTCAGTTGTACAACGACCTTTAGTGAAACCGTATTGTTGTTGGTGAAAGATGGAATGTTTATTAAAATGATGAAGCATCCGAGACAGCATCAACTTTTCAAAGACTTTGCTGAGAACCGGCAAAACAGACACTGGCCTATAGTTGTTAGGTTCTTTAGTGTCACCACTTTTAAATAGTGGGATAACCTTACTATATTTCATTAGGTCAGGGAAAACACCGTCATCTATACATTTATTGAAAATCACAGCCAGATATGGCGCTACAGTTTGGATAAGTGACTTGCAAACTATTACCGATAAGCCCCAAAGATCCTCCGTTGATTTGGTCTTGATTTCTTTAAAAACTTTTATAATTTCTAGAGGATTCGTATATCGAAAACTAAAGTCGTATTGACATGATTCTATGTTGTTCTTAAGCAAAGTTACAGATAGGTTTGCTGATGACTTTAAATGTTCAGTTGTTTTAATAGGAATGTTAGTAAAAAAATTTTCATTCCTGGGCTACATCTACGTTTTATGAAACCTGTCCCCTTTCGGTATTTAAATTAAATTCTGAGTTTCTTAATTTTTTCCTACCAGTCTCGTTGTGTATAACTTTCCAAGTAGTTTTTATCTTATCATCAGACGATTTTATTTTATTACTAATATAAAGACGTTTCGCGACTCTGCATACTATTCTAAAGGTTTTTGAATAAGATGTTACATACTGGTGAAATTGGGGGTCATTTTTGTACGGTTTCATTCCATAAAGTTCAAAGAGTCTGTCCCTACTCTTACGAATACCTACAGTTGCCCAATCGCTAAATACAAATTTGGTATGAATATCTTTATTTTTTATTGGCAAAATATTGTTAAATTCCTTGTTTAACATCTCAAAGAATTCGTTGTAGAATTTATTCGGATTACTAGTATCAAATACTTTCATACATAATTTAGTAGCTAAAGAATTGCTCAATTTCTCCAGATTTTTGAACGTGATTTGTCTAAATCTTATTTGAATTTTTAAGATAGGTAAATAAGAGCTATACGCAACAGTGGTCGGATGGCAAGCTATTTATAATATGTTTTTCTTTGTAGTCACAATTACAGAAAATATTATCAATACAGGTGGCGGTAGAAGATGTTATCCTTGTTGGTTCTAAAAAACATTTTTCAAATTAAATGATCCAAATAAATTTAACAATTCCATACTACTAGTACTATTTTCTAATAAATTAATATTAAAATCGCCACATATAATTACTAATTTGTGACTAGAACAAACCTTCCTTAAAACATCCTCCATGACAGAATCAAATACTGTAAGATTCTGATAGTTAGGTGGCCTATACACACAGACAATAACATGTCTATCTAGCTCAACACAGGACAACTCAATGGTGTGTTCAACTGACAGTGCTACAATATCTTTCCTTCTTTTTGATTTAATTTATGCTTTCTACTGAAATTACCAAGTACGTTGTAATTATCTAAATTTAAAGATATTAGTTGGTCCTCCTTAAACCAATGTTCTGATAGACAAATTACATCAAATTTAGTCTTTTCCAGAAACATCTCTAATTCAAAGACTTTTGAGGAGCAGCCTGAATGTTAATATAAAATAATTGTAGATTGTGCTGCCCCTGTGTATAATTGTTCTGTGTTTTTTCCTTGCCAGAATATACCTTATTATTTATATGATTTATGAAGGTATGTTCTGTTGTCTTAAAATCTACTTTAAACTTAAATTAAAATGTGCCTCTGTGCTGTTAGACACTCTAGACAACACAGATTCGTCCTTAAAACTATTTTCTGTTATACAAGGTATAACAGTGTTAATATTATATGCTATCAGCATAGCAATTTCTTGTCGACATTTTTTTGAAAGGTGTACACCTTTCTTTGTAAAAACAAAAGTACTAATAAATTTATTAGTGTAAAAAAAAAGTCTGTCATTGTGACATGTTATTTGGTGTAGTGTGTTATTAGTACACCTATGTATTTGTTCTTAGAATGTGGTAAAGTATTAGAATATGGGAAGGCACACAATATTATCTTCCCTATGTTCAAGTTCAACAAGGTGTCCACACCGTTAACAATGTCCCCTCTTGTTACTCCTAAGCTGTTACCTAACATTAAAACTAAAACTGACTTTTCATTTAAATCTGCATGAGTTATTTGTTTAATAATATTTTTAAAACTCATGTTGTGGTAACTGTTGTTTATAAAACTTTGATTAAGATGACCATACAGCATTTGGCCAAATCCAGAACCTAATTCATCACTGTAGACATGTGTTTTATAATTTGTTGTATTATTTGGTTGGGTATTTATTGCAACTTGAGTAGGTAGCAAAAGTGAAGCCTCCGGGGTCTGAGGTTGATTCACACAGGATTAAGGATTAATTGAAATAAATGCTTTGAATTTGACTGGGGAGGCAATTGGGCTTCTGGTAACCTCACTCACATGACGAAACACAGCGCAAGAGTTGTTTCACATCGGTTTTCTGTGAGGCTGTGGTATCACACTAGTCGAGCCCGCTCATTCGTCCATAGCAGAAACTGTAGGGGGTGTATCCGTTCTACCCGCTGATGTATCCCACTCTGTTTGTGCGTGTCATGGTGAGGTGCAATCAATTCGGTGTACGACGGAAATTTGCCTTGGTTGCCTATTTGGTGAAGTTGCTCCGTGGTCTGGAACATAACCCGGGAGTATTGGGTCACCTGAGTCTTTCTGTATCGGACCGCTACGTGTAGAGACGGCGACGTCCGTTAATATTGGCAGTGCCAGCGGCGAGGACCAACCTTCTCGCTAAAGCACCACTGACTCGCGCAATCCATACCATTAATAAGCTCAACAATCGTATTGATATATTTACAACTCCATCGAGTGAATTCACAAAAGTACTAGTAATTTATTTTAAATTATGATAGTGAATATTGTATAACTATTGTACACTTCTAGACACATCTATTGGCGCACCTTAGAGTTTAGGTTTCGATGGCCCCTACCGAAATATGATTGCTAGATTGAACAAAAACTGTTGATGCAGTTTTAAACCTGATACATTTTACCATCTTTTTCAATCGTATTGTTTTAAGTTTGAATTCAGAATACCACACGACATGGAGCTACGCCTAACAAATCGATATGCGCCTTGTTAAAGGCAAATAAAGTTTTAATTTAATAACGCGTGTTGCCTCCATGGGCATCTACCACAGCTCTCATGGGATTACGCATAGAGTTTATCAACCGCTCTATGAAATTTTGAGGGATCATCTCCCATTCCTCTTCTATGGCAGTTTTCAACTCCTGCATCGTCTGGGCAACTGGATGACGAGCCCTAACACGTCTTTTTAGCTCATCCCACATGTGCTCAATGGGCTTCTGGCAGGCCAGTCTATAACTGTGATGTTCACATCCCGAAGATATTCCCTGACGATGCCGGCCGCATGGGCTCTTGCATTATCATGCATAATAAGGTCATTTGGGTCCACATAGTCCGCGCATGGTATCACGTGAGGTTCTAAGCACTCACGAATGTACCATTAGGTATTTAACGTTGGCAGCCGTGGTCCTGTAACAACCTCAAGTTGAGTTTTGCCGCTAGCGGATATACCGCCCTAGACAATGAGCCACCGCCATACTTTAAACTTTCTTTAAACTACAAACAACTGCCTGAACTCTCACTCTCTGGGTCTCGATTAGGTCGGGTTTCGAAGTTCAAGTATTTGGGTCACTGGGTCACTGATGACTTAAAAGACAATGCAGATATAGACAGGGAGCGCAGGTCGCTGGCTGTACGCTGCAACATGCTGGCCCGCAGGTTTGCACGCTGTACGGAATCCGTAAAAATAATGCTTTTTAAGGCCTTCTGCCAGTCGTTTTACACGTGCAGCTTGTGGACCATGTATACCCAGCGGGCATACAGCGATCTGCGCGTGCAGTACAATGGCGCATTTAGGGTGCTTTTGGGGTTGCCGTGGCGATGTAGCGCGTCAGAGATGTCCGCGGACGCATGTGTGGATGGGTTCGCCGCGATCATGCGGAAGAGATGCGCCTCAATGTTGGCGCACCTGCGTTCTTCCTCCAATGGCATCCTGAGTGTGTTCATTGACCGGTGGGACTCTCCCCTGTTACGTAGATGGATAAGTGTCCAGACTCACTTATCCAAATAAAGTAATGAACATATAATTATTATAATTTACTAACATTTGGCTAAGTTGTACTACTACTAACATAAATATGGATGTTTTATCTGAAATAAAAATTTTGAATTTGAATTTGAATATGCAACCCTCTCTTCAAAGCAACATTGTGCGAAACGCTCTCTCTTACATCGGTAGACCTTCTTCCTTCCACCATTGCCATGTAACACAATTTTAGACTCATCAGAAAAGAGTACACAACTTCAATCTTGCTGAGTCCAATTTAAATGACTGCGTGCGAAATGAAGGCGCGCTGTTCAGTGGGCTAGCGTTAGTTTGGGCCCATTAGCTGGATTGTGTGATACCATATCGCGTTCTTTTAACCTTTTTCAAATAGTTCGAACGCTCACAGATACTCCGTGGAAGTCGCGAAGTTGGCTTTTTATCTCAATGGAGGTAAGGTGACGATTTCTCAAGCTGGTCGTCACGATGAATCGATCCTGCCTTTCAGTTGTGACCCGAGATCGTGGCCTTCCTTGGCGACGAACATAGCCGCCAGTCTCTAGGTACCTCCGATAAAAATTTCGGACCGCAGATCGACTTAAATTAAGTTGAGCACGCACGTTTCTTTGGCTGAGTCCGGCCTAAATAAGTGCCACACTTTGGCGGTGACTTCAGGTGAAGTATCCATAGATTATTGATAGAACCTCACCTGAATGTTAAGAATAAGTAATGTTTGTTCCAAAACCAAAAATATCAATCACTTTTTCAAGAATTAAATCCAAGTAAACCAATAAAACCAAGTTTTCTTAGTATTCGATTGTTTGACATCAACAAACAGGCTCCAAATTGTCTTTTGTTTCTTTAAATTCTACGTTCAAAATTCAAAAAAACACTATTGAATGAAATTGTGAATGTGCCAGGTTCAAAACTGCATAAAAACTTTTTGATCGACTTAATATAAAATTTTAGCTAGGACCAAACGAAACTGAAAGTACAAGGTAGGCCAATAGATGTGTCCAGAAGTGTAATTTAATGTAGTTTAGTTTTTGTAATTTTAGATTAGTTTTAGTTATTATGTAAGGTAGTTAATTTAATGTGTATATATTGCAAGATCTTCTGTATTATTTTTATGTTTTATATTTGGTTTTGTTTTCGTTGCATAATTGATTTTTAGTAATTAAAATATATTTTTTTTAACTAGATTAAGCCTCACTGTCGAATTGGGAAAATCCTGTGATGAGAGCTAAAGGAAGATTTTTTATAAAAAAAAAAAAATGTTTTCTACATTTTCTATTTTGTATTTAAAGAGTCCGTAATTTACTTACTTTCTTTCATTTTAGACGCTAGTGTGCGTATCGTCACCAAGAATCGGAAAAAATTTAAGACCGCTTTAGCTAATGTAACTCCTCATTCGTACCGCAACTCTGACTGTGCAGAGGCTGCCATGGAAGGCATTAGCTTAGCACTTCAAAGTAGTGAGCCCCACTCATATTTGTACGTTTTCACTGATGCATCAGCTAAAGACTACCCAAGGTTTGAAGAGATCAAGAGTCTTTCACAAAAAATGCAGAGTCAGGTACCTATTGCCTTAATTAATTGATTGAAACTAAAGTTGTCTGCATGTAGATATATTATACATTTTATCATTTCAGTGCGCGTGGATCGCGATATAACATTTACATTACAAGATAACAGTTGATTTGGAGCGTTACTACTGCTACGACAGTAGGACAATGAGTTTCCATATCTACATAATAAATAACATGTTTTTTTATTTTTAGATCGTATTTCTTTTGACTGGCGAATGCTCAACTGGTAGATTGGGACCTGATTACGAAGTGTATCATCAAGTAGCAGACGCTACGTCTGGTCAAGTCTTCAATATATTGAAAGATGATGTGAAAGATGTAAGACATACTAAATTATTTTTCAAATAAGATTTCTTGTCTAGTGTCATATCTGTATACATACATGTAAACGGGCTAAGACTAGATAGTTGGATTAAAAACTTGACTATTTTAAAGGATAAAACGGCCAAGAAATATATGGTTGATTAGCAATTGGCACAGCGTACAGAATATAACCAATATTGTTATAATAACTATCGTGAGACATACTAAATTAAATAAAAACGCGGGTTACTCACGTGAATATACTGAGAAAAGCTCTACTAGTTTCGAACCACAGAGGGGTTCTTCCTCATGAGCAGCGTGCGCGATCGCGGCGACGTCCGCAGCTCACTGGCTGGCGTCGGCGCTCGCCTCGGTGTTGCCACCTGCGCTGCGACCTCTGTCGGACACTACGAGCGTTTGCTTCCAACTCCGGCGGCGCGTTGGACGATGTTAAAGCGCACGGTACGTTCACCAGCGGCGCGGGTCGTGGGTTCGATTCCGGGTTCGGCACAAAGTCAGTGTTGCATATAACGCTTACTGTGTCACACTCCAGACTGGAGACGCTGTGGATCGACGAAGACTCCAAGCTCGGCTTCCACGCGGGTGGCAGTGCCCAACCACCATCCCTGTTGAAGCACGGACGTCGGCTAATCTCGATGGCCTCTCGCACTTTTCGCGGAACGAAGTATTTTTCTCTCGCTAGTACGGAGACCTTATCAAAACGTATGAAGTGAGCCGCGTCCGTACCACAAATATGTTCAGCCACTGCCGATGCCTGGATGTCCATCTTCTTCACGCTGCGTATATGTTCCTTTAGCCTGGTTGTGATGTTGCGACGAGTTTCCCCGATGTAACTCGAGCCACAGTCGCACGGTATTATGTACACTCCGGGCACAGCCAGCGGATCCTTATCTTTAGGTCAGCGTAGTAGTTGTCTTAGCTGACCGGGTGGGCGGAAGATCCTCCTGATGCAGTATTTACGGCGAAAAAGGTGTCCGATTCTGTCGGTTACTCCTTTCACGTATGGTAAGAACGCTGGAGTCCGTTCCGCAACTACCGGTCGCTTCCTACTCGAGCTGCTCGCAAGTCGAGTACATTGACGCCAGTTGTATACATTGTTTTTCAGTACCCGTTTTAAGTGATGAAATTCGTCGTCAATATACTGGGGATCGCATAGACTCAGCGCTCGGTTTATCAAAGTCCGGGGAACAGCGGCCAGGTGAGAGGGATGATGGTGTGAGTCAGCTCGCAAGTACCGGTCCGTGTGTGTCGGTTTACGATACACTGTGTGTGACAATCGACCATTTTTTTTTCGTCTTACGAGGACATCCAGAAACGGCAACATCCCTTCTCTCTCTTCTTCAGTGGTGAATTGTATACTGCCGTGCACTAAGTTCAAGTGTCCCACAAATTCAGCCACATGTTGCCTGTTGATGATCGGATAGAGCTTTTCTCAGTATATTCACGTGAGTAACCCGCGTTTTTACTTAATTTAATATAACCGATGTTTTACGATGGTATTTTGTGAGATTGTGGTGTAACTCCGTTCGAGTCAGCTTGATTTACATAATTTTATCATTTCCACAGGTATTAAAATATATCGAAGAATCCATTACAGGCATAGGAAGCAAGATTGTAGACAAAAAATTTGCACCCGGCTATGATAAAAATCTTACAGTGAGTAGTAATTTATCATTACTTAAAATATAATTTTGACTTTTAAATTGTGCATTCTTTAAGTTATAGAACATAATATGACGTGCCCCTACACAAATAATTTTAACAGACTATTTAAAAATTTAAAATAACCAAACCCAACATGGCAAAATATTCTTCTCTACTTAAAAATAAATCTGTGTAAAGTGCCTTGTCTCATCGATTTTATAGCGATACAATTTATATAGCACGGCAAAAGCGCGCTCATGCGACTCGTGGGACCAATACAATTTTAGTTGACGCGATCGGATAGGTGAATAACCTCGTACAAATTGTATACCGTTACACATCATCATCATCATCATCGACAGCCTATAAATGCCCACTGCTAAGCAAAGCCTCTTCTCACATGTAGAGAAGGTAAGAGCATTAATCACCACGCTTGCTCAATGCAGTTTGACGATTTCAAATTTATATTTAGAAATTATAAACCCAGGCTTCCTCACGATGCTTTCTCCACCGTTTGTCGGTGGTGTCTAAATAATCCTACAAAGTAGATATAACTCGGAAAACGTCAAATTGGTACTTGCCGTTGGTAGGTTTCAATCAGCACCCTCATGCATGAGAAGCAGGCGTCGTAAACCCCCGGGCCGCTACGACACAATATGTCGTTACATAGTATAATTTTTGTCGGTAATAAGTCCATGTGGTACGACGGAACTTATTATCATTATCAGCTTAAATATTTCTCACTACTCAGAAAAGTAAATAGGTACTTATTAATTACCACGCTTGCTCAAGTAGCGTGTGTAATTTAAAAGTCATAACAATTACAAATAAAACCAGATTTCCTTCACCCTTCAATTAAATTGGTAATTCAACATTTTTGATTTTGAATTATTTAACCAGTATATCGTCGACCCCCACACTGGAGATACTGCACTGATAACTATAACTGGGAAAGAACCTAAAATCGGCGATGTAAATGGTCCCGATGGAAGTCGGCCCGATACAACACACATAGTATCAGGAAAATCTGAAATGGCGGTAAGTGATCTTATTTTATTTTTGTAATCTCTTAATATAAAGCGTACGATGGAGCATGCCTGTCCTTTTCATTTGGGCCTTAAAGGCAACCAGTAGCGCGATTCACGTAATAAAAACCATAGCGATATCGTAGTCACGCCTTTTTTCGGAATACTCTACTTAGCGAGCTTTTCAAAAAACTTAAAACGGATTGGTAGATATCTACCACAAAGCGATTGATAGGTGGTACGATTATGAACAAGAACTTGGGGATATCAAGGTGAGCAATTTCCTCGCAAAGGCCGCACACTTACTGAAATGTATCTGATAAAGGACCGAAAGGCTTGCAATGTTGCACCTGTGTTCAAGGCTTTGAAGCTAGGGCTCCAGCAGTATATAGACATTGATGAGCCATTTAGCACGCCGCCTTAAAAAAAAAATTTACGTCAATTTTTTGTCCGTCAACAGGTGGTGAAGGTGACTGGTGCAAAGACAGGAGAATACACCGTGTCGGTCGGAAGCATGTCCGAAACGCATGCAGTTGTGAGTGTAAAAAGCACAATAAATTTTAAAGTCGGATTTAATGTGCTTAAACCAAAATCCAGCGAAAATACCGTCACGAGGCCGCCACCAAGTTTGTATAGATTTTATGTATCATTTCTGTAACATTATACCACGTCTGAAGTATGAAGGGCCATCCCACAGGCTTGGATGACAAATTAAATAATCTTTCTTGCAGAAGGGAATGTTTTCATGGGTGTCAAGTTACTCGGGACAGGAGTAAAACTGGAGACAGTCAAAATACTCGGAATGGCGGATGAAGTTATAGAGGAACTAAAATTAGAACTAGTCGATGAAAAAACGCAATTCTATGTCACACCATCATTTAACCCACCGTCTGCTATGTTTCGTGTAACTGTGAGTATATCTTTTAATTTATTCTCATTGTCATTGTTAGCTGCACGGTTGGCGCAGGGGTTGGGCAAATGGCTGCCGCGCAACGTGTCGCGGGTTTGATAGATTGTTGTTTCGAGTCTGGGTATCACGTGTATGTGAACTTGTATCTTTATAAAGGCACTCTCGACACAGGACAAAATCGTAGTATTTAAAAAAAATAAAACTTGCTTCCATCATCTCCTACATAGGACACGGCCACAAAAATCTAGAATCCACAATACGCATGTTAGAGAGAACTATAATAAAGTAGTTTCCAATTTTTGTATTAATGTCCGTGTGGTAGATTCATTTAAAACTTTAGACGTCAATCTTTTCTTTTCTTACAGAATTAAATACTTTCAACAATATATTATATTGACTAGAAATATCGTGTGACGTCACGAATTACTACATTTTATAAGGTACCGTGACGTAGCTAGCTCCAACTCCTCCTGAAGGTGCAATTTTACTTAAATTCGATTTATCTCATCATCGTCATCGTCATCATATTTTTCAAAATAACAATTTCATTGGATGGCCATAGCCAAAATAGCATACTATTTTATAGCCAAATTGGGGAAGTGATTTATTTAGCCAAACACTAGTATTTTTTCCTGTGCCGTGGGTACCTGGAACAACATATTAAGTTCGTTTTGACAATGTTTTTACCGATAGAGATAACCAGGTATGAAAACTAAAAATGTAATTAGTCCGTCAGTTAGGTAATAAAACAATATTAGACACGTATTTTTTTATTTTGTCATAAAAGAAAACAAAATTTTGATTAAACGAATCAAAGTTTAAGAGTTTTTTTTAAGGGGGGAAAATCATCGAATGACTGCCCCCACCTGGGTGAGGCGGGAGGGAGTGTCAGACTCTTACTGACTAAAAACCACCCCGTTCCTTCTCCTGCACGTCGAGCCGGAGCCCCGGTTACCCGTTAGGTTCTCCGCGACAAAGTTTAAGAGTAGGAGATAGCTACGTCATTTTAGAGTAGGTATAAATCGTACTCAAAAGTGACGTCATGCGATATTTCAAATCAATATATCTTCGAAACAATTCGTTTCCGTAAGAAAATAAAAAATACGTGTCTAATGTTTTTAAATAATCTACAAGACGGACATTAAAATAAAAATTAGTCATCTACCCTATAATTGTCAATTTTTGCCAGTTGTGTTATAATGACGTCAAGTCACACATACACACACCAAACTTTCTGTTCCAATCCATTATTACAACTGATCAAACGATAGTCCCATAGGGTCATTTTATTTATACATTTTCTTATAGATTAATGGATATGACATCGAGACTAAAACGCCAGTGACGAGAAGAACTCCAACACCTTTATCCAGACAAGACATGTCCGCAGGTAGAACATATTTCTTAAAATTCTTTAATTTGCAATCCTTAAACATATTAATTTAATAGTTATTTTCTAATTTAAAATAATGAAAATTTGAACTGACTCAGATTCTGTTCGCATACAACATTTCATTATACAGGGTTACAGGGTAAGTCGACCTAAATCCTTTAAGAGGTGATAGCATCCATTATTCCTGACCGATTTGACTAAGGAACCCCATATCCCTCAAGATGTGCAAATATGAAAACAAGCAATTGTCGCAACAGAAGGCCAGGCATGTCGCTACTCGCGTAACCCATCTTTGAGGAATGGTTAGTAACGGCGCGGCGTCCTAACCTTCCTATTGACGCCGGTGCTTTTCGAAGATGGCTGAATTGGCAGGAGGAAATTTAGAGAGTACACGATGGATTATACGGAGGAGGATGATTATAGGGATGAACGCCACCGTATCCTAAGGGAAGTGGTTGGCGGCAGTGACCTCTCGTCGTCAATACTTTGGTTAGTTACTGTAAATAAGAAAGAAAGAAAGAAGTGGAAGTGGAAAGAATGGGGACAGAGTGTAAGAAGGGACGGTAACCTTGTACTTGTGCCCAAGCCGCCGCAAGAGACATTCGTCGGGCATCACACGACGTTCTCCCGCCCTCGTAATCGTCAGTCCGTAAGTCGACTAGAACGAGACCCCAGCATCAGCTCTCAAAAAAAAGGTTGATACCTACGGGGGTCGCATGCAAAACTAGCCATTTATTACGACCGCAGGATAGGAATTGGAATGGAATAATCTTTATTTCATAAGTATCTGCCCTGGGTGGAGCGGGATGAGATATTTTAGTAGTTTTCGTTTCTTATGTAAAGGTATGAAATAATGAAAGGTCTATCTAGGAAATCTATTTGGCATTTCTTTTTTTTTAGTGGTGAAAGTTGACACTGCGCCAAAAGTAACGATTGATGGTGATACGTCGATTACCCTATACGTTGATGATCCATTAGAACTAATTTGTAAAGTTCACGCTTATCCTGAACCAGAGATAATATGGGAAGACAAAGACTTAGGGACTGTAATACCTGCTGAGGTAATTATGTTTTGTTTTGTATTAAACTCAGCTAATAATAATACCTGAATTATTAAAAAAGAACGACAAACAATTGCTCACATCTTTATATATTCTTATTTAACAATAAAAAACATTACAGCCTTTATACATTTTATAATCGCTATTGCGAGACAATAATTTAAGTAGAATGTGCACGACTTACTCACAAAACAGTTCCGAGGTGCTGGACTAGTTTCATGCCACGGCCAGGCCTCACAATCATAAGCTGCATACGGGGCGAATGACAGCGACATCGCGCAGACATTGTATGTTGACTGTGCGACATCGTTAATGACATCACAGTTTTTATTTTATTAAAAAGTAGATGTACATTCGGATTTCAATATAAGTACATTGTAATGTATTGGTACTTATTTTAAGTAACTTCAAAAAACAAGGCTTTCATATTGTTACAAGTAGTTAGTATTGCAATAATTATTATCTCATTTTACAGACGAACATGGTCGAAGTACCCTATGATTATGTCAGTGTTTTAAAAATAGACAAGGGAAACAGGAATACCACCTACCAATGTAAAGCTAACAACCGCAAAGGAAACGACGTTCAAGGCGTAGAAATCATAGCAAGAAGGAGATTCTATTTTGATGTAATCGATTCTCCTAAAGGTAACCTACATTTTGAAAATAAAATTGTTTTGTGTTAAGAAACCATAATTGTACTATTGTTTAAAACGCTCAGAAGGATGGGAAAATCTTAATTAAAACTCAGACGTGTCATAAAAGAATTTTTATTCACTTGTTTTACAAAAATTATAATACAAAATATATCCGTCAGCTGTCAAAAACTAAAACCGCGCGAATACCCGACTGAGATAGTGATGCCATGTTCGGAAAATAAATCAATCCACGATAAAAACCGGGAAACCTTTGACGAAAAAAACCACCACAAAATTTGTAACCCACAGAGGTCTTAGTGGTAGGACATAAAATTGAAAATATTACGGGTAGTTTCGCATTTAAAAATCGTAGTGTGTGCTTAGATGATCTAAATAATGTTTTCTTTGTAGATGTTAGCATAGAGTATGCAAAAGAAGGTAAACTTGTTTGCAAGATAGACGCCAAACCATCGGCGACTATAAATTGGTATAAAGATGCAAAGCCTTTGTCTAGTAGTAGCCGTATTGAGATATCTAAAGATCAGACAGTGGTGACCTTGAAAGACATGCAACCAGGTATGGAAGGAAAGTTCATGTGTGAAGCAAGAAATGACAAAGAGAGGAAAGTATTTTATTCACACGTCGAGATATTTGGTATAGGTAAGTCAGTTTTACACATAAGGGAAAAGATTTCATTGTTTGTTTGCAACTTTGCACTGATTAGGCTTCGAATCTAACGTTAACTGATTTTGGGGTATTTTTTGAAATACCAATAAATACGGCTCAATTATCGTTGCAGCCACTAAACTGGGTTTATAGGTCAATAACTTCTGTGTACTTACGTAATAAAAATAACAATTAAAGAAGGAATATCTACATATAATATCTACACTGACAATTTAGTACATGGCTTAATAAAATGTTTATTTCAGAAAAACCCACTATCGATAAGTCAGTGGACGAAATCCGTGTCACAGAGAAAACAAATGGCGAATTGACTTGTAGGTAAGTTCATATGTATGTACGTAACTTGATGGAAGCAGCGTCACAATGAAGATATTTTACAATTTACAAGTTCACAGTTTTTAATTACCTTTGTAAATTCATGTAATTTGATAGATCTATTTTTTATGGGATAAGCCGGTAAATGAGCATTTGGATCACCTTGATGGTAAGCAATCGGCACCGCCCATAGATACCTGAAACACCAGAGGCGTTACAAGACAGTGATGTGCGTTACCGGCCAGGATTGTGGGGGATTTGGGGATTGGGAAACTGAGGAAGGGGGTAATTGGACCTCCGGTAAACTCACTCACATAACGCAAGCATTGTTTCGCCGTGCTCCTTTGCCATCGCTCATTTGTAACAGAAAAAGAGAAAATGTCTCTTTGAGAATTTGTCTAATGGGATCAATTTTATGTTTTCTTAGAGTAGTCTTTCTGGCGTAGTGAGACCAGAAAGGACGCCAGACAGAGTAGCGTAGTAGTAGTGACTAAGATCCGTTGACTTAATACCTCTCGCAATCACAAGTATAATTATTATATGCCAACTTAATGAACAATACATACATAAACTATATTTTTAGAATTCTTAAGGGGATCCCGAAACCGACTGTAACCTGGTCCTTCCGAGGTTCAGGTAAAACAAAGAATTTGAAAGAAACCGGAGAGACCTTAAAGTTGAAAAATGCTCAAAGAGACCAAAGTGGTCTGTACATATGTACAGCGACAAACGTCCTGGGAACAGATAATCACGAAACAGAAGTTATAGTGGAATGTAAGTATGAACACAATGTTAATTTCACACTCTTGTTCTATCGGCTTCCACTTTCATTACCGCCTGTCCAAAAGTTACCCCCATATTATGTATAACGGTAACCGTTGTCCTAATTAATGTTTTAATGGGCAACTACACAACCAACAAGGCATTTTTTACATATGTATATTTACATAATTTATATCCACCTGACCTGACGTGAGAAGGAAAAAGTCAACGTTTGAAAATAGCTATCCGCCTCCTGGTAAACATTATTATAAATACCATAAATATACTTATTTCTGTGTCTTTCCTCAGATCCACCACATATAAAAAGTGATGTAAAAGAAAGGAAGATTGTAGATGGCGATGAAGCGAAGTTGACATGTGACGTGAATGGAGTGCCCGCGCCAACAGTATACTGGACATTCAATAGTATCAATGTAACAAGTACTATGAGAACTAAAATTACTGCCGATTACAGTTTGATGTAAGTATTTAAGCATATGTTTTTCCACCAAATCGAAAATTCTGTTCAATTAGTTAAAAAAAGTACTTATGAACATCATAAATTTAAAATAAATGTATCTACATAAATTTATATTTAAAAAAAATAAACCTTCTATTTTTCATCCTTTGGCTCATTACAAAGTAACTCATTAATGAAACTCATACATACATGTATTTCCAGAATCAAAACCACTGTAGCTGACACTGGACATTATACTTGCCATGCAGACAATAAGATTGGGAAAGATAAAAGAGACATTTTTCTAGAAATATATCGTAAGTTAAACTAAAATATACAAATATATTTCAAAGGTGAAAAGTTACGATATTCCCAGTAAAAAATAGCGTCAAATGTTATCAAAACTCTGTGACACCTGCGCCTCGAAACAACATCTCCTGAAGATCCTCAGCGGAGGAGCAAATCACGGTAGTTCGGATGGTTTGTTTAAGTGTGGTGTGTGTTTTGTATTACGTTCATGCTGCTCGTCCATTTATTTGGCTGAGGATTCGAAGACGAAATACATTTCACGATGCATATTCTTCCTTCCTACGGGCTTCCCGAGAAATTATGCGAATGGGTCTCTTTCTTTCTTGCAGACAGAAGCATTAAGGTTGTTGTCGACGGGGAATGCTCTGACTTGCTGTAAACGCAGGCGTCCCTCAATGCTGCGTGCTGTCTCCTACATTGTTTCTTATGCATATCAATGACATGTTGCAAATCAGCGGCATTCATTGTTATGCGGATGACAGCACAGGCGATGCCTACTACACCGGCCGCGCTAACATTTCTCGGGAAAACGTCATAGAGAGCCGAAACAGACTCGTGTCTGAAATCGAGACCTCTTTAGGGAGAATCTCTGATTGGGGTGGACTTAATTTGGTCCAGTTTAACCCCACTAAGACAAAGGTCTGCGTGTTTACCGCTAAAAAACTGCCGTTAGTCTTATCTCCAAAAAAAATAACTATTATGTTGTACGTAAACGTCTACCATTCACTAAGTACTAACGCGACACACATGACATGACGAAGGTTTGATAATGTAGTGCGTAATCTAATAAAATATTTATTTCAGAAAAACCCGTTATCGATAAGTCAATTGATGAAATCCGTGTCACGGAGAAAACAAATGGCGAATTGTCTTGTAGGTAAGTAAAGTCATAGAAAATTAGACAATATCTAATGAAAACATAATTATGACTAAGTTATCTTAAACTTAGTCATAATTATGTTTTCATATTTTATACTACATATAAACATACTATACATATATACATATAATTACTAAACATAATTATGCGAATTTCGGCATGTCGTATATACAGATCGATAGAGAAAAAAATTCTGAGAAAAATGGTATATTTAGCTCAATTTGGCCAAAATGGTTTATACGACCTTTCTACCCAAAGGTATCGATATTTTATACTACATATAAACATACTATACATATATACATATAATTACTAAAAATAATTATGACTAAGTTATCTTAAACTTAGTCATAATTATGTTTTCATTAGATATTGTCTAATTTTTTTTCAATTATGTGAACAATAACAATCTTTAATTTTTTTTTGCATGTATTAGTATGCGAAATACTTCATTATACTTTTTGGGTTTCTATAATCTGGAGCATTACTATTGTATCGAAATATTGTTTAATCAGTTGACAGTTCATATTTCGGAAGGTGATGTAGTAGAATGGTAAAAAAAAAGATTTTTAGACCATTTATCTTGTAATAAATTAAGCTACGAACATCAATTGTCTAGAGATCCTCAGTTCTTTGGAAACATAATAGGTATACTCGTTTTGATGAATTCGAACTTAAAAATAATAATGTTACATAAAAATGAATGGTTTAGTTGACTTAATAAGCGGTACAAATTGTATCAGGGAACAACAAAAAATATGTTGTACGAATTCTGCCATTCGCTTTTGAAAATGTATTAATGAAATCTATATGCTTCCCTAGAGCAGGCTTCAGTACTAAACTAATATCCATTTACTAAATACCTTTTGGATTCATTCTCTGCTATATTTGTCAACTTCAAGAACAATGTATAATTAGACTTTATATTTTCATAGAATTCTTAAGGGGATCCCGAAACCGACTGTAACCTGGTCCTTCCGAGGTTCAGGTAAAACAAAGAATTTGAAAGAAACCGGAGAGACCCTACAGTTGAAAAATACTCAAAGAGACCAAAGTGGTCTGTACATATGTACAGCGACAAACGTCCTGGGAACAGATAATCACGAAACAGAAGTTATAGTGGAATGTAAGTATGAACAGATTTTTAATTTCACACTCTTTCTTCTATCGGCTTCCAATTTCATTACCGGCTGTCCAAAAATAGCCCCCATATTATGTATAATGGTAACCGGTAACATTTGGATTTCACGTTAACTAAATATTTATCTAGTCCTAATCAATGGTTTAACCCTCTGAGTACCGTCATTATAGACACAACGGTGTTTGACAGTTTAATGTAGGCTTGTGTAGTTCGCAAACGAACTAGTTCAAAAGAGCGCTCCCACATTCAAAATATGCGAACTAGTTCACATCATTCCCAACTCCTTAGTTTGTATTTCAAAGTACAAGTACAAGGATTGTGAAGTCGTTTATATGTATAGTCTATGGTGAAGACCGAACTAAAAAATGCGATAACGCGATAGTTCCTACGCGATTCATTCCAATTCCTAATCCAACTGGGAGTCGGGAGCTGACGAACTAGGGAGCGATTTGACTGCCAGTGCCTTCTTAGTTCCTATGCGATTCATTCCAATTCCAAATCCAACTGGGAGTCGGGAGCTGACGAACTAAAAGAGCGAACTAGTTCGTTTAGGAGCGGCGAACTGATCTGAGTGATCTTAGTCGCGAACTATTAAGCACAAGACTAGTTTAATGGGCATCTACTCGACCAACAAGGCATTTTTAACATTTATTTACATAACTAGCTTCTGTCAGCGGCTTCACACGCGATCCCAGGGGTAAACTGCCTATGTACTACTTCAGACTATAATGTACCTCTGTTCCGAATTTCATTCCGCTCTCTTCAGTCGTTTTAATATGACTGAGTAACAAACATACACACAAACACATAAACTCACATATTTTCACATTTATAATATCGGGTCAAGTTTATTTTATCCATCGGCCCTACAGTTACAGCGTAAAGTCTATGGATGAGTATTGTAAACGAGAGTAAACAAATATAAGCAGAAAGCTCCGGAGTAACACGTGTTATTGTCAGTCAACCATAAAAGATAGACGTGTGCTGTTGTGGGATATTATTTAGATAATTTTATGTAGAAAATTTCCGTCATTCAAGATTTCTATGTAGGTTTAACTATTAAGCCTGCTCACCCGACAAAAGCTTATAAAATGGAGTAATTTCACCCGTTTTCCCAACACTTTCCTTCACTGCTCTGCTCCTTGTAGCGTGATGAAAGTATACTATAACCTCCCCAGGAGTATGAAGAATAATTGTATTAAGTTTTGTTAAAATCCGTCGAGCAGTTTTTATTTCTATAAGGAACATACAGACAGACAGACCGATAGACAAAAATTTTACTGATTGCATTTTTGGCATTAGTATCGATCACCAATCACCCTTTGACAGTTATTTTGGAAATATATTTCATGTATAGAATTGACCTCTCTACAGATTTATTATAACTAATTATAAGATAGATAGATTTATATCCACCTGACGTGAGGATTAAAAGGTCGACGTTTGGAAATAGCCTCCTGGTATATATTATTATAAATACCATAAATATACTTATTTCTATGTCTTTTCTCAGATCCACCACACATAAAAAGCGATGTAAAGGAAATGAAGATTGTAGATGGCGATGAAGCAAAGTTGACATGTGACGTGATTGGAGTGCCGGCGCCAACAGTATACTGGACATTCAACAGTATCAATGTAACAAGTACTATGAGAACTCAAATTACCGCTGATTACAGTTTAATGTAAGTATTTAACCATATATATTACTACATCAAATAAAAAATCCTGTTCAATTACCTACATCAAAAAAGTACCTACAAATGAACATCATAAAATTAAAATAAATTTACGTATGTACATAAATTTATATTTTAAAAAATTAACCTGCACAATTCTATCTCTCATTTTTTTGATTGGCTGATCACAAAGTGTATCTAGGTTTCGTTAAAAATGAAACTCTGTGTTAACATCTGATGGTAAAGAAAAAACACCACCAACACGTATTATTAAGAAAAAAAGTACATGTATTTCCAGAATGAAGACCACTGTAGCTGACACTGGACATTATACTTGCCATGCAGACAATAAGATTGGGAAAGATAAAAGAGACATTTTTCTAGAAATATATCGTAAGTTTAACTAAAATATCGAAATATTACGTTAAACCCATCATCATGCATACATACATAACATCACGCCTTTTATCCCCGAAGAGGTAGGCAGAGGTGCACACAGAAGTAACACCCACTTTTCACTATTTATTTTATGAGTCCCATGTAATAGAGGGTCAGCCTATTGCCATATACCGGGCACATTTCCAGACTCCGTGTTACCACTGAGATTAGAGATACTTTTTTAAAAACCCTAATACTTTGCCCGAACTGGGAGTCGAACCCGAGACCCCTTGCCCGGTACTCGCACTTGCGACCACTCAGCCATCGAGGCAGTCACCCAGAAACACGTTCCGTGAATTTTTTTCGAAACTCGACGACACCTGCGCTTCGACACAACATCTCCTGAAGATGCTGGTGGTGTGTGGTTTGTATTGCGTTCCTGCTGCTCGTGCATTTATTTGGCTGAGGATTCGAAGACGAAATACATTTCACGATGCATATTTAACTATTCTGTTGTACATACGTAAACGTCTACCATTCTCTAAGTACTAACGCGACACACATGACATGACGAAGTTTTGATAATGTAGTGCGTAGTCTAATAAAATATTTATTTCAGAAAAACCCGATATCGATAAGTCAATTGATGAAATCCGTGTCACGGAGAAAGCAAATGGCGAATTGTCTTGTAGGTAAGTAAAGTCAAAATTAGACAGTTTTCAATTTTTAATGATTACACAATAATGACTAAGTTATCTTACTTTTCATTCTGGATTATGTTAATTATAACAATGTTTAATTTTTTGTTCATGTATTAGTGTGCAAAATATTTTACAATACTTTTTGAATTACTCTAATCTTCTAGAACTAGTACCGATATAATTATTATTAGATCAGTTGACCCTTAAAAGGCTATTTAATATTGTAAGTATAAAAAAAAATACATCACAAGTTTTGAGAATTTATTAATGAAATCTATATCCTTTCCTAGAGCAGCCTGCAGCCTCACTATTAAGATCCGTTTATGAGAATATAGCTTACTCTACTATATTTGCCAACTTCATGACCAATGTATGATTAGACTTTATTTTTAGAATTCTTAAAGGGATTCCGAAACCGACTATAACCTGGTTCTTCCGAGGTCCGAGTAAAAGAAAGTATTTGAAAGAAACCGGAGAAACGATAAAGTTGAAAAATGCTCAAAGAGACCAAAGTGGTCTGTACATATGTACAGCGACAAACGTCCTGGGAACAGATAATCACGAAACAGAAGTTATAGTGGAATGTAAGTATGAACAGATTTTTAATTTCAAACTCTTTCTTCTATCGGCTCCTTCTTTCATTACCGTCTATCGAAAAGTAGCCCCCATGTTATGTAGTATAACGGTAACCGGTAACATTTGGATTTTACGTTAACTAAATATTTATCTAGTCCTAATCAATGGTTTAATGGGCATCTACGCGACCAACGAGGCCTTCTTTTCATTTACATATTTATATAATTTATATCCAGTCGACGTGAGAAGGAAAATGTCGACGTTTAGAAATAGCTATTTGCCTCCTGGTATACATTATTATAAATACCATAAATATACTCATTTTTATGTCTTTTCGTAGATCCACCACATATAAAAAGGGATGTAAAAGAAATGAAGATTGTAGAGGGCGATGAAGCGAAGTTGACATGTGACGTAGTAGGAGTACCCGCGCCAACAGTATACTGGACATTCAATAGTGTCAATGTAACAAGTACTATGAGAACTCAAATCACTGCCGATTACAGTTTAATGTAAGTAGGTATTTAAGCATATTTTATTTAACTATGAGGCTACCGATTTTAATAATTTAGCTCCGGCCAGCAGTTTCGCCCTTAATCCTCAATCTACCCCTATTCCAATTCTTCTTATTCATTCTGATCCATTCAGCCGTTCTGATGTGATTGAGTGGCAGAAGTAGCTCACAAGTTTCACATTTATAATATTAATAGTAAGATAGAGAGAAAACTTATTCATTTGGCAAGTATGACACACACTATTTATTTTATTTCTCTCATCATCATTTACATAATAAAATACAGCAAACGTTTTATTACTACATAAACCTGAGACTGGTGTCTGTTGTAGGTGAAACCTGTATCATACTTATTTACTGAGTTACTATATTTTACTATATTTTGTTACTATATTTACTGAGTCCTAATCTAATAATAAAATTTATAAAAAATTGTTACTGAGATCGAAATAATACTGATACATAAGTAGTACGTGTAACATTAATAAGGTTAAGGTGTTATATAACACAACATCAATATTGTATGTATACTGTCATTTTAAAAATTATAATATTACTAGTTGTCAACTTATTGCACCGACCACGCTCTCACTGCATCACCTAAAAGTTGGCTAGTAAGAATGCCCATGGCATTAAGCCCGCCTATGTACTTTTGTTGCATGAAGTTAAAATAAATAAATAAATAAAACATCAAAATGGTGTAATAAGATTAAAAAAATAATTTTGGACGTCATAAAAGTGCACAGGTTTTTTATCTTATATCCTGAACACCCGATGTTGATAAAAATCATCAAGCATACGTATTATTATCAAGAAAAAAATATTAATTTTCAGAATAAAAACCACTTTATATGACATTGGACATTATGTTTGTCATGCAAAAAATAAGCATGGGAAAGATGAAAAGAAAGTTTACCTACAAGTATATGGTAAGTGAAATGCTAATTATCTAAGTATCTTCGTGTTTAAGCCTTTGACTGCCAATAAAAGACTGTTGCAGGTAAATTCTTCGCTAACGTCGGTCACCGGTGACCCCCATGGCGTTTAACGTGTTAATTGCCTAAACAATGAATTCTAATTTTGCATTTATATGTTCTCTACCAATTAGACTACGCTAATCTCTCTTTTATACCATATGATTTCAATCGCAAGAGATGTCTCTGATGAAGAGTGATCGTCCCTTTTAGTACATCTTACTCTTTGAGGAATAAATGGTGGGATCTTTTTTGGAATGTTCAATGTCCAAGTCTCTATTTTAATAATCTCGACACTTTAACCTTAGACCTTTCTTTCTTTCATTCTTAAAGCGTTCGGTGTTTTCAGTTCCAGTGACCATTGAGAATCCAAAATCTAATATAATAAAGACCATGGTTGGCAGTGGAACGTTGATAAACTGTATAGCCAATGGGTACCCAAAACCAGACGTGAAATGGACTTTCCACAGAACTCTTGGTGCTCCTGGTATAGATGTTACGTAAGCATTACGGTGTAGCTAGCTAGTATGCATAATAGCATTGTTGACTTGTTAATCTGATCCATAACTTTAGAACGCACGAAACTATCGAAATATGTGTGTGCTGTAAAATCTATAGGTATTTCTTATTTGTGCTCATTTCTGATCTAACGGCTTTTGAATCCCGAACTGGATGAGGTTTTTTTTTCAGTTTCTCTATTTCACGAAGCAGACTTGGAACTAGTAATTGCGCCTGTCTTTGAATATTGATTAAGGGAATTTCGGGGACAAAAGCAACGACATCGCAAAGAAAAAAAAACTCTTTTGCACTACTACAAGTAACATTGTGATTGAAACTTAATTCTTAGTATTCATTCCTAATAGGTCTCCTAAACACCCTTCACTACAGCTACAGAAACTGCAGCTGAAGCAACAAGGCTTTTACGTGTGCTTCGCTGAAAATGCAATAAGTGGATCAGCTAGTTTAACTTACGAAGTGAAAGTGTATGGTATGTAGCGCATTACATGTTTTCCTAATTGCTCTTTATGACATGTCTCGTTCAGTTTCCAAATACCTCCTAGATTATATGTTTGCTACGACCGATGTTTGTTACTACGATGGCCACATACTTTTTTCCTCAAATAGTGACCAGTAAGTCACATACATTTTTGAATTTGTTTTCCTCCTTATACAAAATACTTTCATATGAATTAGTGACAACTGAGACTAAATTAGTATATAAAGTAAAGTATTATTAATATTTTCAGCGCCACCAGTCATACATAATGTGTATCCAAGGAAATCGTTTGAAACGATTGAAGGAGACATGTTGCTTAGGATTCAATGCAAAGCTACTGGCAGCCCTACACCTACTATTACCTGGCAGAAACACGGTCTAAACTTGGCAATCGGTAACCAATATTTACTGTACAACAAATAAAAATTACTTAAAAGTATCATCTCTCACTCATAAGCTAGATATAGCTCATATTTATTCAGGACGCGGCGACTGTCACGCTGATACTGCTGATGCTATTGTTATGCTTCTCCCGAATTTCTATTTTGCTACCTCTTGAAAATGTGGTGCATTATAACAATTATTTATGTAATATTCTTACTAATACATTTTACGAGAAAAAAATGTAATACAAAATGAAACTAACGACAATTTAAATGTAGTTTTTTTTTGTAAAATTCGTAGTTTCAGTGCTAGAGCGCTGCAAAGAAGGTACAACTTACCTATCTGATACCTATATAGTAGTTAGTGCATTAAATAAATAAATAAAATAAAATAAAATAAATAAAATATATCAATCGAGATGTTACAGCCTGAACTTGCTTTTGCATCACATAGGATACGATTTATCAGACTCATCACAGGCTTCGT